CGAGAGTAAAAGGTTCGGTGAATGAGGACAACTGGGTTTAGTTGATATCTACAAGGCCCAGCCCAATTAGATATACTATCTGAGAACAGATCTAAACCCTAACAAGATAAAGTTTCACGTGATCTATACGTTTCTAATTTACTTTGTTTGTTGTTGAGAGAAGTCTCCAATGTCCTCGCTCGCCGCGGAAACCATGGCTGCCGACGAAAACATGTCTTCCGGCCGAAACATGTCTCACGTGGATAATCCTTACGGGGCCGAGATATACGCCAGTAAGATCTTGCTATATCTCTCGAAGTTGTTTGGTCTTTATATATATATATTTTTGATTAGATTTTCGTCTGATTGTTAAATATTTAATCATAGTAAATATTTTTTAATGGATTGTATTTATTTTTGATTCCATGGTGTCTCCGGTGGCAGAGGGTAACACAGGTGTGTTTTGGGACTTGGTGGATTTTCCAATCCCTGAATGTGATCCTTATTTAATCTCTAAGAATATAAAATCAACTCTTGAGGATAAGGGTTGTCATAATGGTCCTGTGTCAATCCAGTTGTACCAAGATGAGAAAAACCTCCTCCCCAAAGAATTGATTGATAACTATGAGTCTGCCGGAATCAGTATCAATTTCGTACCCGATAGTGAGTGAATTCCTCCTTGACCTAATATATTCATATCGATTTGAATTTAAAATGTAATATAGATCTTGGTTGATATGTAGTTCCTGAGGCGTATGGATATGCTAGAGATCATAAGATGTTAGTAGACATTCTTCGGTGGGCAGTGGACAGTCCTATAGAATCCAATTTGATTGTACTCTCAAAGAACTTGAAAGAATCGTTGACTGTCAGTGTTATTCGAAGTTTGCATGGGAGAGGTTACAATGTTGTCTTAGCAGTTCCTACAGAACATATACCTTTTACTGAAAGCTCAGCATGGCTTTGGGATAGCCTTTGTGCAAGCCTATCATCAGATGGAGGCCGAACCTCACAACATGTTGACAATAAGGCGGATACTGTTGCTGTTGCCGATTCTGTGTAGTAACTAGGGAGCAAATATCGGTAGAGGAGACTAATATGTATTTTTGATGTTTTATGTTATATATAATGATGCACTCTATATATGATTCTCTTTGATTTGATCATTTTAATCTTTTCTTCACATAAAACAAAAATTAAAATATCGAAATATGTGAAGTGGTGTGGTAAAAGCAAAAGGGGTATAAGGTTTGTGTAAGCGTAGTTGTATGGTAAATTGCTCGATGGTAGTATTTATTGTGAGGAGCTTGTCACAACTTGCTGACGCTGATCAATGTTTGAGATCGTTTTGGGTTTGTTACAAGATCTCTCACTCGTTACCTGCAAAATGCTTCTTTATATTGAGCGACAGTTCTTGGGACACACGGTAACTGGGTCTTTTAACACATCATTAAGGTGTCTGGATGATGACCGCCAAGGTAACTGGGTCTTTTATCATCCTTTGGTTTTAAGCCTAACTTTTCAGAAACCGACTTGGACTTGTCACTCAGTTCCTCGAGCATCTGTTTAGTGAAGGAAGTCAAGATGTGCAATGCCCTAGGTGAAATTATCATTGACATCAACAGTAAATTAGAGCACTACCAATCCTTGCAGTTGTGTGGCATTACCAATGTGATGAGAGCTCATCAATGTCACAAATAAGAAGAAGTCATTGTTTAAACAGCAAAAGCTAGGTATGTGAAAAATTTGCATCGTGCAGTGCTTTTGTTTGGGGCACTCAATGCTGTCTACTTACAGATATGTTGTATGGATGAAAATCTTTGGGATAAGGTTTTAACAAATTTCCATCCGTTATTGTTTTACCAAAAACACAGCTAATAACCCAAGTCCCAATTAAGCCAACTAGCAAAATATCTTTAACTCAATAAGTCAATAGTAAGACTAATAAGAGAGTTGCATACAACAAAGAAGGGATTTGTGTAATATAGATAAATAGAAAGTTGAAGACAATGCATTGTCCATAAAGAATCACTCAACTTTGATGTTGTTATCATCTACAACAGCATCACTTGGAAGGTCACTCCCCTTTGGAATCTTTCCTGAATAATCAGTCACCGAAGTGTCTGATCCCAACATACTGTGAATCACATGAAAGAACATTAGACTATACTTGGTTACATCTTCAAAGCTCATGGCAAGAAAAATTAATGAAGAAACTCCATACCTTCTATCGACGATGACCATTGAACGTAGCTCACAATTCGCAAAGCTGCAAATCAAATGCAAATTATAAACCCAATAGATTAAAAATTCCTAACTAAGAGTGTGAAAGCTTACTGGCTGCAAATTTCCTTCTTAACATCTGGATGACACTCGTTTTGTAGTGCATTCAATGTGTGAAACAAGAAACCACTGTGTGTCACAATCGCTATCTCTTTCTCTTTCCTTGTCCATAGCCTACAAATCCAAAACCAGCCATCATACACAGTTCGGTTCCATCAGCATTTCCGATAAATCAACAAGACTAATGGAGATTACTTAAATTCTACATGGAAAGAATCTTCTTTCATCAGAGATTGATCCTATTTGATGCCAACTTCTACTTATCAAACTAACAGTGTCGAGGAAGCGGAGAGGATGTTTCTCTAAGTTTCACGTTCTGTACAATCCATTAAAAATAACTAATCTGCTAGAGTTTAGGTAGAAAAGAAAATATACCAGTTCAGGAACTTTTTTCCTCTAGCTGCAAGTTCTTCAATTGTTTCTCTAACATCAGCCTTCCATAACTTGTCTTCCTCGCTTTCTATCTGAACGCAAATTTAAATGTGAGGAGTCATTTGAAGCACATATAAGTTGTTTGGCGGAGCTGGGCGCTGCTATTAGTCAATTGGGCAACCAGAAGATTACAAGTAATAATCAATGCCAGGCACATCTAAGACTCTCAAGTTTACTTGCCAGTGAAAAGTCAACTGCTGGGAAAAGAAACTGATAGTGGCTGATACTTCTCCTCTGATCACATGGATGCACTCCCTGTGTCCACAAAAATGGAATACAAAAGTGAAAACTTGACGCAGCTAAGCATAATTATTTTGTGACTAGATCTAAGCTTTTGAATAGGACAGCAAAACTTGTGAGTAGGAGTGAAAAATACTGCAAAACTTGTTGTTTCATGATCACTTTTAAGTGGTGAGTAGGAGTGAAAATATTTAATGCAAAACTTGGTTTTACCATGAAGTTTTGCGATAATTGTGAAGGAAGATAGACGCAATTATGTTCAATTTTAGTTTGTCTCTAGGCTATATGTGTTACACTGAAAAGGCATACCAAATGTTCTCTGCAGGACTCCTCTGTAATAATTGGTGGGCAGTTTAAACTCGATATAGCTGCACGGCAGCTATTTCCTGCATTTGCTACCATTAGAGGTAGTACATCACTCATATCTGTGTAGCCCTCTCCACCAAAAACACCAACAGCAGTTTGCAATGTTCTATATACAAAGCAAATACACACAAATTGACACTGTCAAAAGGTTTATTATCTAAATGGAGTGCATCAATGTGATCAGTCTCACACAATCTATTATACAAAGATATCAGTAATCACAGATGTCTAAAGTACCTCATCAATGGAGACGAAATGACCAGTTCAATCTTCTTGTGAAGTCCACTGGAATGAACATGCTTACGCAAACTATCTACCTGTCACCAAGAGAATCTATATTAAAAATGTTGGATAAAGAGATGCAAGTGGAGCTGTTTTTCTCAGTAGACCTGTTTCCAGCCAAGCTGGGTCAACTCTGCATCAAAGTAGTCATGAGACATGTAAGCCTTATAGTTCTTTTCGCCATCAACATTGTGAATCCCCTGAGCATGTCTCACCTGAAAAAAAAAGTAGTCAATATCAACTCCATACATTAGAGCATCTTTGAAACCTTCAAATGATAGATTTAAGCTCAAAGAGATATAATAACACCACTCACTAGGTAAATGGTTTTGCAGCGGTGCAAAGGGTACAAACCTATACCAGCACCAGTTTCCATTTCTGCAAACTGATTCAAAAAAAAAACATCAACTAGGATTATGATAAAGAGATGCAAAAAACTTGTATAGCAGCTAAAAACTTACAAGCAAATGCACACTGTTACAAAACTAAAGTTTCGTTTTTTAAAACAAAATCCAAATCGGAGACAAATAAATCAGGACACCAAGATCGAATCAATAGAAGGGAAATATAAATACCAATCGATTCCAAGAAAATCGCTCAAAATCAAAAGCCAATGGTTTCATTATTACACACAAAAAGGAAAACCAATCTAGTGCAAATGTAGAGATTGAAATGATTTTCACAGAATTAATCATTCACATAGATGAATACAATGAAACGTATATATAAACAACACATTTGTTGAACTTACAGGAGATTCGAAGAAGTAAACCACAGGAGGCTGATGTGAGAAGATGTGAATGAAGTAGGAGAAGAAGAAAGAGATTAGATTAGTTGGATGATTACTTCTTCTTTTTTTTTAATTACTTTTATAAATTAATCTTTGATTATGCATGCAGCGGACCAATGAAAACGATTTTAAAAAAAGGTTTCTACAAAAAATAATAAAATGGAGAGAGCCGTCAATAATACTAACCACGTATACGAACCATTTGGGTCCTCTCGTTCGTCACTAATACGAACCAAGCCAAAACAAAACTCTAAGAAAACCAAAATTTCATATTACATTTTGAACCATCCAATATTTTATTATCCTTATCTTTATCCACTTAATTTTCTTTTCCTTTTTAACTACTTAAATTAGTTTATCAGATTCTGAGGTTACAGTAGTAGATAAACCAAATGAATAATCTTCTAAAATCTAAATCAATATCGATTAAAACCGAAAACCACATGAACATCAAACCGAAAACCGGAGTAGATTTAAACCGTAAGAAATTAATCCGAACCGGAATAAATTACCGGTTTAACCGAGAGATTTCATTACAGTGTCGTCTTTCTCCTCCAGATTTCGCCATGAATCGATGGAGTTGGGATCCAGACGAATCTACACGACGATGCCGTCGAAGCTCCGATCTTCTTCACTTCTTCCACGTCTTCTGCTCCTTTCTCTCTTATTACTCCTCTTCTATTCCTTAATCCTTCTCCGCCGTCCGATCACATCAAACCTCGTCTCTTCTCCGCCGTGCGATCTCTTCTCCGGCCGATGGGTTTTCAATCCAGAAACTCCGAAACCGTTGTACGACGAGACTTGTCCTTTCCACAGAAACGCTTGGAATTGCTTAAGGAACAAGCGAGAAAACATGGATGTTATCAATTCATGGAGATGGGTTCCCAATGGCTGTGGATTGAGTCGAATTGACCCGACCCGGTTTCTAAAGCGGATGAGGAACAAGAATGTTGGGTTTGTTGGGGATTCTCTGAATGAGAATTTCTTGGTTTCGTTCTTGTGTATACTTAGAGTGGCTGATCCAAGTGCTGTGAAGTGGAAAAAGAAAAAAGCTTGGCGTGGAGCTTACTTCCCTAAGTTCAATGTCACTGTTGCTTATCATAGAGCTGTTCTTCTTGCCAAATATCAGTAAGATTTCTTACTTTCATAGTTTGAAATCTAAAAAGGGTTATACTTTGAGTTCTTGTAACTTAGCTCTTCAAGGGAGAAATCAAAGTTCAATCTTTTGGATTAAGATTGCCGAGTTATAGGCTTGTTAGGTGGCATTTGCAAATTTTTCAGTGTCCATAGAGAAACTTCAATTCCTTTCTTCAGCTGTGAATGCCATTAGAAGTTTTCTGCCCATTATGCTTTAGAGTGAGTTGAAACTTGAAAGCATAATGAATGTGTTTTTGTATATGTTGAATTTTTTCCAGCCTTATATGTTCTTCTAAACTGATATGATAAAAGGTGGCAGCCGAAGTCTTCTGCTGAAGCTAATCAAGACGGAGTGAAAGGAACGTATCGAGTTGATGTTGATGTTCCTGCAAATGAGTGGATCAATGTCACTAGCTTCTACGATGTTCTCATTTTTAACTCTGGCCATTGGTAATAGTTATATCCTTGACCTGTTTGTTTTTCTTTTTCGTTCCATGCTTACAGCTTTTTAGTATCTGGATCTGTTTTTTGGGTTTAGGTGGGGTTACGATAAGTTTCCTAAAGAGTCACCTCTTGTCTTCTATCGAAAGGGAAAGCCGATAAACCCTCCCCTTGATATATTACAAGGATTTGAAGTAGTTCTTCAAGATATGGTTTCTTATATTCAAAGAGAAGTCCCAGCGAAGACCCTTAAGCTCTGGCGTTTGCAATCACCAAGGCATTTCTATGGCGGTGATTGGAACCAGAATGGAAGTTGTTTGCTTGATAAGCCACTCGAAGAAAACCAGGTATGGTAACAAGCTTTACTGAGCAAGGCTGGTTTCTCAATCTCAGTCCCTGCTCAATTCTCTGGAATTTCCTCATAGATGGTGGAAAATATATTCGGTTTTCGATTGAATCCTATTGTGTTATGATATATGATATTGATGCTAAGACCTAGACAGCTTGACTTGTGGTTTGATCCCAGGAACAATGGAGTGAACAAAGAAGCAAGAAGAATTAACCAAATCATCAAAAATGAGTTGCAAACCTCAAATATCAAATTACTTGATCTGACCTATCTAAGCGAATTCAGAGCAGATGCTCATCCAGCTATCTGGTTAGGGAAGCAGGACGCTGTGGCAATATGGGGACAAGACTGTATGCATTGGTGCCTACCAGGTGTTCCCGACACATGGGTCGATATCTTATCAGAACTGATTCTCACTAACTTGAAAACAGAGTGAAGACGCTGTCAAGAGTCGAGAACAGAGACTTGCTTAGGCATATGGAAGCTCAAATGTCGGAAAGGTTCCATCTTTTGGTTTTAACTGTAAATGATTTATCTTTTAATGAGATTTTGTAGGATTTCTTTGTTCCTTTTCCAAGACACACCTTCAAACAAAACACAAACATTTAACTTGTATTTGTGATACATGTATTTTCTTGCTTGTGATTACTGTTTCCATGAAGTTAGTGTTTTCGCAATTGTGGCTTGTTTGGTATGTTGAACTCCTGCATATAGAAAGAAGCTCTAATATCTCGAAAACTTTGACCTTTAAAACTAAGGATTACGTCCATGTCTCGAAAGGCTCAATCTTTGGAGTTTTGTACTAGTGCCTAATTGTGATCTAATTGTGATTAGTCGATGATAAAGGATTAGTACCGGATTATATATACTAAAGGATTTGGCCATTTGGGACAAAGGGAGAGAGAGAGAGCAGAGAGATGTCGGTGAGATTACTTCATCTTCTCCCCCAAAACAATTCCTTTTCTCGGAATCTCAAAATTCACCATCTGTTGACCCGACCCGTAAGCCGAATTCAGTGCATAAAGAGAGACGACGAAGACGATGACATCATCAGAAACATGAGGATTAGGAAGCCGAAGAAGAAGAAGAAGATCATGACCGATTCGGAGCTAGCGAAAGATTTGGCTAGAGAAATCGGGAAAGCGAACACAGTGGCGGAACAGAGAAGAGAAGCGATGAAGAAGAGCGGTGAGATTCTATGGGGAGAGTTTTGTAGGCATATGGATTTGAAAGAAGATGAGATGAAGATTATATGGAGCAAGATTGGAGAAGAAGAGAAATTGAGTCTGGTTAGAAAGTTTGTGGATGAATGGGCTGGTGATTTTCAGCCTTTATCTGTTAGATCTGTGAAAGAAATGGTTGAACAAGAGTGTTTGGATTCTTCTATAGAATCTTCTTCTTCAGCTTCTTCTTCTATGTCTTCGTTTTCTGGCTTGTTTCCTGGATTGAAGAGAATCATTGGGTTTGAGTAGAATCTCCAATTTTCTTTATAATCATTGCAATTGTCTGATCAGATTCATTGAGAACTTATCATCAGCAGTTTGCTATCTTTATGACAAAAACACTTTATGGCATTTGTAGATCATATACATTTGTAGTACAAGCCTCATCGACTAGAAAAATGGACAACTATCAGAGTAAATCAATGTATTTGCATTGTCAACTTTCTGAGACTACCTTATAAAAATACCTATGCAGACACAATCATTATCACACAAATATTTCCATCAAACGTAGTCCATAATTTTGATCGCAAAGAGATAGACGAACAATAGTTCAAACAATAGACAAAACAAACCAAATATATCGGCAATGAGGGGTACTAAAAGAATCAATTACAAATTTTCAAATTCGTTCGAAACAATCATACAATTGTTGAATCGATAATCGCCGCAATGTTCCTTCCGTGATGAGACCTACGCAAGAGATCAAGAAAAGGTAACAACTTAAACTTCTTGACGAGACCAAAAAACAAATCAACCCTACCCTGGCGTCGCGTGACTCTCAATGCCTTTTGCACAACGTAATTCCCAAACGCATCCTGAGCCAGCCTCCACAACGTGAATCCACCACACTCCATAAGCTCACTCACGACCAAATCCAAAGCTATCATCGATCCAGACTCAAGAATCTTCTCCACGATGTAGCTACCACGTCTCTGAGACGAAAGCTCAACGTAGTAACCATAAAGCCGAAACGCTACAAGGTTTGTGTATTCCAAGTCATGGAAGTTAAGTACGTGTTGTACCACAAAGTTTCCTGAATCGTCCATGCTTAACCAATCAGCGTTTTCCGATATTTCGTAAAAGAATTCATATCGGAAGATATCGTTTGATTCGGTTATGATTTGGTTAAGTGCAATGCACCCGATTTTGTCGCTCGCAAAGTAAAGCGCGTCACGGAGCGTGAGACTAACCAACTCGAAGCTTTCAGAGACTTTGAAAGCGGTTATCGCAACGAGATAACTGTATTTTCCGGTCATAATATCAATGAACCTACGCACGATAGCGTTCAATAAGATTTCGTCAGTCTCTTGTGATTTTCCAAAGAGTCGTCTTACGCGTTTTGATCCTTCTCTGTCACTGACAATCTCGACGAAGTAATCGGATTCTGACGTCAACTTTGATACAAACCTATGAAGCTCTCCTCCGTTGTTCCTTAAGATCATATCGTTAAACTCCGTTGAACCGGCCTCTCCTTCCACGGATGTGAGTAACGTGTGTAAACGCATGCGAAGTTTTTTTTTTTTTTTTTTTTTTTTTTTTTTTTTTTTTTAAATAACTCATACCTTTCATTAAAAACTTAGAAACCGGATACAACAAGAGTCTTGACGAAAAGAAAAAGGAGCCTGCAACAAGAAAGATAAACAAGAGCACATAACTATTGAAATACATCAAACCAAGAACCCAAAAGAGTAGGAGCCGGAGGAGTAATTCGTTGAGCTCTAGAGAGTGGATCCAAATGGCAACGGAGGATGTTCTCTATCTCAAGTACCAAAGCAGAGGCTGGTCTTGAGGAAGCAGTATGCAGTCTCGAGTTTCTTTCTCTCCAGATAGAATACATAGAAGCTTGGAAGGCAAGTCTAAGAATCAAAGCTATGTTTTTGTCATGACAAGGATTCTTAAGCCATCTAACTCCATCCTCAAACAGGTAAGGTGGAAGAACATGTGCCTTCCTCGTAAAATACTGCCACACTTCCGCAGCATATGAGCAATCAAAGAAAAGGTGTTGCCTCGACTCATCTTGAGAATTACAGAGAAGGCATACGGAAGGAACATTCAGACCCCAACGAATCAGCCTATCTCTAGTGTGCAACCTGTGACGAGAAATGATCCAAGCAATGAATGCATGTTTAGGGATCCTCCCTTTAAACCACACAGATTCATACCAGTCCATTCTAAGTCCAGGGGGATTTAAATGAACCCAAGTTTTTGAGGTGGAGAAGAAATCAGACGCTTTACTTTCTCCAATTTTTCAGAGGAAACAGTCATCCTCAGCTTCATCTTGAGCATTCACAACAGAAGGATCAGGTAGGCAATCTTTTAAGAGCTGAATAATAGGAATTCTGCTGCGACTTCTTGAAATCCACCAACGACCATCTCTCAAAGCATCAGCAACAACCGCCCCTCTAGGTAGACCAGTAATTCTTGGACCCAAGTCACCAGTGAGCTCCAACAAAGGACCCAGATTAGTCCAGTTATCAGACCAAAAGTCACAAGTGACCCCAGAACCTATTTCACAAACAATGAAGGGTCTGGCTAAAGGTCGCAATTTACACAAACTCTTCCAAATCCAACTTCCTGAGTTTAAATAATCCGCATGCGAAGTTGTTGGAGATAGTTTTGTCTAGATATTGCACGAATGGATTGGTAGGTTGAGAAGTAGGGTGAATTGATTGTCGGAGAGATTTCTAGAGGTTGCTCTATATTATTGGTTGTTTCTCTTCCTCGAGCCATTGTGGAGAAGCCATGAGGGTTTGTTGTGTAAGACAGAGCCCTAGAAATTAATGGTTGTTGACTTGGAACTTCGGCTTTGTGGTTTTCTAAACCTTTTTCCATTTTTTTTTTCTAGCTGCAAGAATATGAATGATTATTGAGTGATGAATAGGTTGGATATGTTGAAGAGTAATTTATATGAATAATTATGGTTGACATGATATTCTTGTAGAGAACGGAAATTATCGTTAGATTTTTAACTTAATTTTTAGATTAGTCATGTGTTAATATGATAACTTGAAAATAAATTTCAACCGCTAAAGATAATCTCTTATTTTTTTAAGAGGGGGACTTGGTAGGTACTAGGTACTAGTAGGTAATATCCAAGTTAATTTTTGAGGAAAATATGATAACAAAATTAATCTTCATTGAAAATTTCCAAACTCGAATATTGGAGATTGAAATAGACTAAATTAAACTGATCTAAATCTTTGGTCTGAATATATTATAGGCCTAAAAACTTATCGATTACAAGAAAAATAAAAATTGAAAAAACAAAAACTACAAAATTAGTTAAAAAAGCCAAATAATCAAGAGGGAAAAACAAAACTTAAGAAGACTGACTTATTTTTTAATGTATTTTTCTTGATTTCTTCAAACGAATATTACAATTTACAAGAATACCCCTACCTCCTCATGGAATATCCAAAATTCGGACTTCTCAGAGAACCGAGCTTGCCATGGATGTTGACGGAGAAGGTGATCGTGGTCAAAACCCTAGAATTATGGAGAGGGATTCAGATTCGATCAAAGATCAGATCACAGAGCCTTCATGGTTTACCCCCAAAAAGTAAATTCTGTTCTTTCTCCATTTTACGTTTCTCAGGTCAAAAAATATCTCAACTTTTGGCAAAATTGGGCGAAATGTCGAAGCTTTTAGTTCACAGTGTGAATGAACTAGGAAATGTTTTCTCTGTTCTCTTGAAATCTGCTAATTGGTTCTATTTATGGAAATTTTGTTGAAAGAAGTTTGTACATTTGATGATCTTTTTGAATGTTTACTTTTTTTATATGTTTTATATTCAAATTTAGTTTTCTGGAATAAGTAGATTGATGGAGAGCAAAATCGATATATTCAGCTTAGAATTATAATCTGCTATGAAATGGGCATAAAGATTCAGTTTTTGTTATTGTATAACTCTTTAATATATTGTTAGTCCTTTTAGGAAATGGAGAGGTTTGGATATGAATAAACTCTGTGGGCTTATTTTCAGCAGATTCTGAGTCTTTGAACTGTTGGGAACCCAAAATTTGTGGGTTCTTGATTGATGAGTGTTTTGGTATTAGTCTTATTCTTGTGGTTATTTTTTGTCTATCTCTGCAGGCTTCTCTTTGTGTTTTGTGTTGTCAACTTAATAAATTATATAGATCGAGGAGCTATAGCAAGTAATGGTATCAATGGGAGTCGTGGTACTTGCACTTCGAGTGGTACATGTTCAGCTGGCAGCGGAATACAGTAAGTTCCCATTTGTTTGCCGTCTATCCATGAAAGCACTAGGTATTGAAATTATCCGTTCCAAGTATAGTGTGTGACTTCAATCAAACTTTAATTTAAGCTAGAGGTGGTACTCGAGCTGATCCTCTATCATATTATGTGAAAACATGAGAATCTGTTTTGCTTAAGTCATAATGCCCATGGTTGTACTACACAGGGGGGATTTCAACTTGAGCAATTTTGAAGATGGAGTTCTGTCATCTGCTTTCATGGTTGGGCTTCTTGTAGCCTCTCCTATATTTGCTTCATTAGCAAAGAGGTGTGGACTGGATTCCCCAAGTACATAGGCATCAATTTATTGAATTTGAATCTACATTTCATTATCGTTAAGGTTATTTAACTCACTTACTGTTCTGTGATGCAGTGTTAATCCGTTTAGACTTATCGGAGTTGGATTGTCAATCTGGACTCTCGCTGTGATTGGCTGCGGTCTTTCGTTTGATTTTTGGTCCATCACAATCTGTCGCATGTAGGTGTAGTTTCTATTAGCTTTTCATATTATATTTTCAAAACCATATACATCTCCGTTTTATGTTTCTCACCTTATTCAGGTTTGTTGGTGTTGGTGAGGCATCATTTGTAAGTCTTGCTGCCCCATTTATCGACGATAATGCCCCACGTGATCAGGTAGTTGCTTCTGGAATGTATCTGTTCTCTCAATCCATGGTTTTAGAAAAAGGATGGTAATTAATGTCTATAGGAAGGAAGCTGATTATTCACAAGGCACTTTGTGTTTGTTTTAACCAGAAATCAGCGTGGCTTGCTGTATTCTACATGTGCATTCCGACAGGCTATGCTTTTGGCTATGTATATGGTGGAGTGGTCAGTTACTTTTCGTTATTCGTTCTGTTTATGTCACGAGATTCTGATTACATGGTTCTGTTTTACACCACCTTTAGTGACCTCAATTCGCCCTTCTGTGTTTTTGTAGATGGGGAGTGTCCTTCCTTGGCGGGCTGCATTTTGGGGAGAAGCAATACTTATGCTTCCTTTTGCTGTTCTAGGTTTTGTTATCAAACCCTTGCATTTGAAAGGTGTGTTTCCGAAGTTGCAAACACACACACCCTATGTCCCTGATGGAGTTGAGCTATTTCTAATATATCTTGTATCTTCAGGTTTCGCCCCAGATGATACAGGAAAACCCCGGACAGATAACTTAAACGTTTTGCCAATTGGTTATGGGTTCTCAGCTGTTATGAAAGATTTGAAATTGCTTTTGGTAGATAAGGTTTATGTTACAAACATTCTTGGTAATCATTTTTCCTTGTCGTGTTAAAAGCATTTGTGTCTTTGTATGGTTTATTGATTACCTGTAACTGTTTTTTTTTCTTTTTCTCAGGGTATATTGCTTACAACTTTGTTTTAGGCGCATATTCATATTGGGGGCCAAAGGCTGGTTATAACATATACAAGATGGTAAAATATTACCAGAGCGTTTTTGTTTCCATGTGTAGAAGTATATCACTTGATGCCTTTATCCCATTGCAGGAAAACGCTGATATGATATTTGGAGGGGTCACAGTTATATGCGGAATCGTTGGCACACTATCAGGAGGAGTGATTCTAGATTACATGGATGCTACAATTTCAAATGCTTTTAAGGTAAGATCCTCAACTTGGAAGACAAATTATCCTCGCATGGATAGAAATTCCACATTCCAAACATATTTCTACCACTTATGATCTTGTAAAACTAGTACTTGATCGCCTGTTCTATATTTCTCAGGTTCTTTCAGTTTCAACGTTTATAGGAGCATTATTTTGCTTTGCTGCTTTCTGTTTCAAGAGCATGTATGCATTTCTCGCTCTTTTTGCTGTTGGTGAACTTCTTGTCTTTGCCACACAGGTAATCTCGGTTTCCATCATTCATATACTTGATTATTGTTTTTTTTTACAAATCCACCTCTTCTGATCTATTTCATGATGTTTAGGGTCCTGTGAATTTCGTAGTTCTCCATTGTGTCAAACCAAGTTTGAGACCACTTGCAATGGCGATGTCTACTGTCTCCATTCATATCTTTGGAGATGTACCTTCCTCACCACTTGTTGGAGTTCTTCAGGTTTGGTTTCTCAGCTGTATCCACAAATTCTTGATTCAGAGCTCTACTGTCTTAATCAAATTAAGCTTCAGTTAAACGCAATTTCTCATCTCGATTAGTTTGAGGCATCACTGTATCCGACTTCTGAATGTTTTCTCATTTCTCACACAGGACTACGTGAACAATTGGAGAGTGACTTCTCTTGTTCTTACATTCGTTCTCTTCCCAGCTGCTGCAATTTGGTCAATAGGTTCGGTTTTTAGCCACACCGGGAACTCAAAATTCAAATGTTTTTTTTAGTTTAATGTGGTAGTAATGATTTGTTGCGTTTGTGACTCTACAGGGATTTTCCTCAATAGTGTTGATCGATATAACGAAGATTCAGAGCCTGATGCAGTGACCAGAGAATCAACCGCTGCGCCTCTTCTCCAGGAAGCATGAGACAAAAACTCAAAGGTCACTGAGAATTTTATGGTTTATTCTCATTTCCTTTTTCTACTTTCTTTTACAATAGAAATGTGCCTGAAACATAAAACAAATGTAAAATTACCTTCATCTGTATATTCTTTGTTTCCTGTTGCCAAATTATGAAAGATCATCCCTATTTCTCTACAGAAAAAGTAACTTAATTGTTTGGTTAGATTCCAGATTCAGATTGATGTCTCTGTTTCACAACTCAGTTCAGGAATAGAAATGTGATGTTTTGATTATTATTTTTCCCATTCTTTCAATTGGTGAGAATCTTAACTGATCAAAATGCATCAAAACAAGAAAAGCAAACTGTCACAGGCTCAATGATTAGAAAATTGCAGAGATTATCTTTTAACTGTATTAGAAAAGTGAAAGATCTCCAGGAGAAACTGATCTCTTGACAAGTTTAGCCCATGATTCGTTTGTCTCATGGATGATCTTCAAAGCATAATCCTGTAAACACAAAAATATATATATAAGCTTCTTGCAAATCTATGAACTAAATATGAAAGAGTAAATGGTTTTTGGTATATGACTTTGTTTGTTGGTTTGTTTCCAAGACCAAACTTGTCAGCAGGATTCCCTTCTGGGATCTTGTAGACTTGTAGTCTCTAAACCAATCTCTAATAGCTGTAAGACCATCTCCAATGTATTTCCCTATTTTTATCTCTATTTCTATAATAGAGGTAAGTTTTCTCTATTTTTACTCCAATGTGTTCCTCTATTTTTTCCTCTAAAAAGTTTAACTCTATTTATAGAGGAAAAAATAGAGATTCTCTATTCTCACCTCTATATATAGAGAAAAAAAATAGAGATCTCTATTTTAGAAGTGAGAATAGAAGTGGGTTGGAGTAAATTTGCCTCTAAAATAGAGATCTCTATTTTTTTCTCTATATATAGAGGTGAGAATAGAGATGGGTTGGAGATGCTCTAAGAGTACCCTGAGACCAACATCTAGAGTTTGTGATTGATTCGTTTCACTGGCTAGCTTTGTTTCAGTGTTTATTTATTCTACTATGTATAATAAATGTTTTGCTTTTTGACAATGAACGCAAAGGTTTCGTGGTGTAGTTGGTTATCACGTCAGTCTAACACACTGAAGGTCTCCGGTTCGAACCCGGGCGAAGCCATCTGAAAGATATCTTTTTAATCAACGTAATTTTAAATTTCAGTTAGCTACACGACGTCGTTTACATAAAAACCGTTTTCGTGTGACTCACCAACACGTTTGATCTCGCGCCACATCAGTCTCTTCATTCTTATTGGTTAATACTCTCCACGTCACCATCTCTTCCCTTGAGAACACGCCATTTAAAAAGACTCCAGAACCATCCACAACCTTCTTATTCCGTATTAACAACAACAAAAGAAAAAACACATATCCAAATTTGGGTCCTTCTAATTTTGCGCAATCAAAAACCTTCGAGGCCTCAAATTTCGTTCGTTCTCTGTGATATTTCTCTCGCAGCTTCGCAATTAGTCTCGGAATTATATAAATCTCAAGGGTTTACTCTTTTTAAGGAGTGGGTTTGATTTCCTTTTTGTCAATCAATGATGGGTCACAGAGTATTGGTTTGTGTCGGAGCTCTGCTTCTGATTTTATTTACGATTTTTCCATCGTCTAGAGCTTTGATCTCGTCTCCTGAGGCTAATCCTCCTTACCCTAAAGCTATCTCGGTAAGAAATTTACCATCTTTTTTATATTTTGATTTGAGTTTATAGATATTGATAAGAAGGTGTAGAAAATTTTGATTCTTTGCTTGATATAGTATCAATGTTTCATGTATAAGCTTTTCCACATTCCTAACTTCAAATTCTCTTTAAAATGTTTGGTTTTGATAGGATTTGAAGGAAGCAATTGTGAAGGGACTTGGATTTCAATCTGAGGAAGTCAAGGTTTCTGGGTTTGATGTAAGGGATGCATTAGTAGGGCATTCTGTTTCATATGAATTTGATTTAGAAATCGATAACAAAGTGCTACCATTTAAGCTTCTTGAAGATGTGAACCGATGGGAATACGTAGATCTCCCAATTTTCCAAGTAGAACAACCCATTGAGAATGGTTTGGTTCCTATGAGGAACAAAAAGACATCTAGTGATGATGTGTTACCTGTTTTAGCTCCGTTTCAACTTGCTGGTCCTATGGAACTTTGGATCCAAGATGCTAACAATATGCGCCTTTCTTTACCGGTAAGTTTGAAGAGTTATTATACATTGGTTATGTTTTGAACAATCGAAATTGGTTTTCTTTATTGATTGTTCTGTCAAAAAAAATCTGCAGTATGATGTGGATGCTGGTGTTTTGAAGAAAGTGATATTATCAGATGGTGCTGTTGTAACAGTTAAAGGAGCTAGATCAGTTAGTTTGCGTCATCCCATTGATTTGCCACTTCCATTGAACCAAAGCTCCAATGAATTTGCCTCTGGACTTTTGTCGTTAGCTGAACAGCTTCGACGTGCTTCAACTGATCAAGAAAGTCCACTTCTTTCGCTCCGCATTGTTGGTCCTACTTCTCTTGCATCAACTTCACAATCTCCTCACAACAAACTCAAGCTTAAGCGTCTTGCTCCAGGACTTGTGGAACTATCTTCCATGTCTAAAGACAAAAGGAGTCTCTCAACGATTGGCGCCAGCGCTATGACTACTGTTCTTACCCCAAGAGAGTTTACAACCATGTGGCCAATTACTTCAATCAATGGCTCAAATGCTAACTTACTCGGCTTTGAGAAGCTATTGACCTCTGTTTTGGGTCCGAAAGCTCAGGAAAAAGGTTCCTTTAAGTTGTTGAAAGCGAATGTCGCGGCTCAAACGTTTATGAAGATTGGTTTTGGTGTAGAAAAGAAGCTCAAGGAAGCAGATCTTGAAGATTTAAGCTTTCCAGAGTGGCGAACAAAGCCTGAGACAATGAGAATGCATTTCGAAGTTCTTGCTAAGGTTGATGGAGAGAAAGTTATCCCAGAGAACGTAATGCGAGTTGATCCGATACCATTGGAGGACACGATTGCGCAAAATGTGATTACTGGAAATGTAACCATGTCGAAACTTCCAATCATTCAGTCTCCTCCAAGCCCTTTCAATTTGTAAATCATGTGGACATATAAAATCATGTTTTATGAGAAAATTTTCAAACTTTTGATCTTGTCTTTGTTTTACTTTACTCACCATATCGCAGAAGAAGTGTATGTTAATCTTCACTGCAACTTGTAATTATTCCGTTTTTGGTGAAAATCAATACATATTTTGTTTTTAAGTGGTTTTAATCTTTGGGTATCTGATTAGGACATCGCTAAATCCACGGATAAATGTGGATAATGACATAAAATATGGGGACTAAACTGAAAGAATATGACATTAATATATTCGAGCCTAACATATATCTTAGTTCGGCCCATTATTAATGTTTAACTAAAGCCCATGGGCATTTCACTTGTAAGCCCATATTTATTTCGCCATTATCTCCGGCTAGTCGCCGAGACTTTCACGTCGGAAAGAGTGACACGCGCGTGGCGAGCGATGGGAGAAGAAGAAGCGCGTAGTTGGATTCGCGGAGACGAAACGGCGAAGCAGATGTTATCAAGGGTTCTTAAAGACCGTGCATTCATGCTTCTTCCGCCACTTCACCGTGTACCTTTACGCGCCGGGAACGTAGTCGAGATCACCGGCGCATCTCCGTCTGCGAAAACTCAGATCCTGATTCAAGCTGCGATCAGTTGCATTCTTCCTAAAACGTGGAACGGCATTCACTATGGAGGATTAGGGAAACTGGTTTTGTTTCTCGATTTGGATTGTCGCTTCGATGTTCTCCGGTTATCTCAAATGCTCAAGCATCGTCTTCTTCAAGCTAACCGTATGCAATTCCTGAAACCCTTCTCTTCGTCTTAGTTCGCTTTGAATTTTGCAATCAAGTAGTCCTATATGCATACTAATACATAAACAATTTCATGAAATCTCAGTCATAGTGTGATCTTTGGTAGTTTAAGTTCTTGTTTAGTGTAGTGTTAAAATATGCGATGTATATCAAAGATGGTTGAATGTAGTTGTTTCAGCGTATCAGGGTTAGGAAATGGAGCATGGTGGCAACTTGAAGAGTCAAATGTTAAGAGTTGCAAAGCTGCACAAGAGAAGTCAAAGACTGTGTTTGATGAGGAGTTATATGTTTCATGCATGAAAAGGTTTCTGTATGTTCGTTGCTATGATAGTCTTGAACTTTTGTCCAGTCTCAAGGTAGTGTTTTCTGTTGATATATCTCACATTGTTGGGTTTGTGTAATGCTTGGACTCTGATAAAAATGTTTATATCATTATGTCACTGTGTTGCAGACATTGCATTACCGGATCCGACAACAAGAAGCCTGTGGAAGTCAAGTCGGAGTGCTTATGATTGACAGGTTTGTCTTTGAATCTGCTAGTTTCTCATTCAGTTAGATCTATAGATGCTAAGAGTCCTTCCAGGACCATTTCAGAACGTCTTATTTTCTAAATGCTGGAATTAGTTTATCATGGGTTAGGAATACGTAAAGAACTTTTTACTGTGGAAGGAATACATCAAGTTTACATGATTGGCGTTACTATTGATGCCATTATGGCTAGATAACCTAGTCTAATGTTACTTTGGCATATGCGTTGTAGGGTTTTATGCACACTCACTATCTAGCAAGCGGACAGGAAGAATTTGAGCTAACTATTTTGCAATCTTTTCACCAGCATTGGTGCTTTCCACTGGACTGATCGTCTATCATCATCATTGGCACTGGAGACACATAACAGGTAAGATATCTACATAAAGACAGTCTAAAGGAGACTCTGGAAACCAAAAAAACTGACATGGTGTATGTAAAGTGACAGCTTTTCTGTTTCCATACAAATTAGGTTGCTTTAGTTGGATTCTGTGTCTTTAGCTTACTTAATACAACATGTTAGAGAGTTTGAGGAACTTTGAGTTTGATCCTTTTTATGTGAGACTTATATTCATGATATATAGGAAAAGTCTGTCCCTTACGAATGTGGTGGAGACGATAGTGCAAGAGTTGAAGAAGCTCCTACAGGTGCATTCGCTGGTAGTACTTGCCACTAAGGCTACAATTTACGAAGAAAAGTACCCAGCACTTGAGAATAATCGGTTAGTTGGTTAATCACATGCTCTGTATACGGCTTCTTTTTTGTTGCTACAGTCGCTTCATCTCTAACTTCCCAAAAATTTCAGAAAGTTCTCCTCAAACGACGATTATTCAGGGAATGCTGCAATTAAAGCTCAGCAACCTCTAATTCGTGAATTCATGCCTTCTTCTTGGCAGGTCATTTTCTGATGTGAACCCTTAGAGCCTCTTCTTGGAATGCTTTGTAGATCATTTTTGACAATCATTTCAGGATTTACAAAATTTAATCGATTATTTCAAAGGATGATTCTTTCTCACTACCCTTCTTTGTGGTCATTGCAGGCATTTGTAACACATAAGATAATTATACGAAAATCAGGTTAGAATAAATTTTCTCGGTTTTTCACTTCCTCTCGATGTCTTCCTTCAGTTACTTTACAGCAAAAAAAAATCTTTTATCATCCCTGCAGCTGATCATCAGTCTTTACAAACGGGGCAACAAAATTTGTCGGCATATTCACTTGAATGGCTACAACCGCAACTCAGTAGCATAGATCGATTCATAGTAGACGATGTAAGGAAACATACAACCATTGCAAGTCTTGCAAAGCCATTTTACTCTAAACTATTACTCATTGTTTTTCCTGCTTCATCATCTCATGCAGTCTGGTATTGTCACTGTCTCGTGACCTAGATTTCATTTCAGGTATTCTTCAATATCTCTCTCTCTCTCTCTTAGAGAGTCACACATGTTTGTAAGTATGTAATGTGTAGAAACCATAAACTATTGTGAATTCAAAGTTAGCTATTAGCTAAGCAGCATGCAGCAAAGTCGCCAGATGTAAAGTTTATGATAATTATTTACATCAGAAAGAGGAAAAAATAAGGACAGCAAAAGTTAAATCTTTAAAGGTAAATTTGTCTTTCTTTTTTATTTACTTGATTAGGTTATTTTTACAATATTTGGGTAACCTTATCTTAGATATAAAAGGAAAGCATATCATACTTACACACATGTTTTGGAATTGAATTGGATTGTAATATTTTTCTAAATTTGTTTAAAATATATTTCATGATATGACATCAAAGTCTGAGAAATTGCAACTGCACGTGTTAATTTTATACCTCATTGTTAGAAAACCATACTTTTTAACTTTAACCTTCCTATAAACCTGAATGTGATTCTTAATGGGACATCACTACAGGCCTTAGCACTTAGGAGTCGTGTTACATTTTTTCGACATCAAAATTATTACAACATTTTGCTTGTGGACTCTGTACAGTCATCAGTTTTTGGTTGTTACTTTTCTTTTTCCGGAAATTTTTATCTCCTTTTCACCGCATTTATCTTTACTTTTTTTGGAGTAAAACTATGTATATATCTTGGAATTTAGCTGATAAGAGCCTTCTTGACTCATCTTATGGAAAATTAGAATGATAAACTTGGATTTAGGAATCATTATTGTTTTATGTAATAATTAGGTTTTACAAGGAGTGGGAGTAGTCAAATCCTTTGGATACTTGATGAGATCAAACAATAGTAATAAAACTAAACTTGTTTGTTTTAAAAAAAAAATATCAGAATCATATTCATAGGACTTCCACTAGAAAACTTTTAAGTGTTGGATATGATGTGTGATGTGAAACTAAACAATTATCCATCTTTTTTAGATTGCGTGGGATTGATTTCCACAGGTATATTATTCTTCATATTTATCCTTTTTCTTACTTTTTAAAAAATAATTAGTGATTATGTGTCAGATAGATTATGAATTTACTAGATTTGATATGTACTTTTGTTTCCAAAAACATGTATTTATTTTGCATTTATCGAAACTAAAGATGCATCACCTTATTGGTTGAGCATTTCTTCGTAGTTATATTCATAACTCATGTAAAAAAAAAGAGATGTGTATGCATATATAATAGGCATCGGATTTACGTTTCTCAGCTAATAACTCGAAAGTAAGATAAAATAAAATGAAAATTAAACCGTAAAACGGCATTTAGTTTATCCTTTAAAAGAGACGTGGCCTCTTAAGAAACTAAGAATTTGCAAAGTTTGTCACATTTGACTTTCTTTTCAATCATATCCTCAAGTCTCAACACATCTCCCACACAATCTGATTTATTTATCCATTGTACCATTGCGTTGTATCAATTCCAAATGTACAATCTAATTTAAAGATGATTTTGGTACTTAAAAAATGTTATAAAAAGTAATGCACAAAATTACCGATATGGAACAATTATAGATAAGAACGAAAGCAATTCGTCAAAAAAATTATAAAAAAAAAATTGGGCATGTGGGTATGAAAGGCTTTGACGAGTTTGAGTTTGACTTTGACTTTTGCCTAACTCCCATAGTCCCATTTGTTTGATCGTTACGTCTCTATGCACAAAATAATTAGCCGAAACTATATCCAATCTCCTCTTCTCTCACCCATTAACTAAAAATTAAATCAAATTAAGGCTTTCTTTTATCATCGCAAAAGTTTGATTTGATTCATTGCTTGTGATTTGTTTTGTTTTGTTTTGTTTTGTATCAACTTCACACTTCTCCATTATTAACACCACGTAGTCCCTGTTAATCGAAGACCTTTTCTTTATCATATTTGTTTAGATCCCTGTATTTTCTGTTTGTGGTGTCTTATCTTGCCATTGCTAATCTCACATACGTAATAATTGTCGACTGTTACTTTGCTAATAGAATTTTTTGTTTTGATTTTTTTTTTCTCAATCTAACGAAATTAAGTTTTTGCTAACTAAATAGTAGTAAATTGTTTTCAGAATTACTCGATGATCGTCCAATATGTATCAAACTCAATTCACTCCGTTGTATGTTGGATGTACTTTTCGGATCACTATACACTCACACTCACCTTAGCTTTTGATATGTTTTTAGTGGATTAGTATAAATGCAAGCAATAAATAAATATATAACATCACAATTATCTAAGTCTAATGAAAATGGAAATATATACTTATTAGATTGATAGTTAAATAATGAGGACAAAACTAAAGAAGACAAAGATCTTTCGATCACGCGTGTGGCGTGGGCATGTGCCTGCGTAAGCGTAAGCAATAGATCATCCAAATGTGACTTATGTGTTTTGACCATTTTGCCCTTTTTATAAGAATAATACTATCAAGAAATTTGATGTTCACATTTTGTTGTTATACTAGAGAATTTCTTAATTTTAAAAACATTGGAGAAATCTGAAGCAAAGTTTGAGGAGCACCCACACACTCCTCCTATTCATTGGGGCTGCCTACTCCTATGCTCTTCTTCTTTCTTTTTTTTAATTGATCTGATGAATTGCTTAGTAAGTTTTTAAAAAAATTTATATTAAGAACAGTGAAAAAAACAATAGTAATAGCAATTATTTGAAAACAGTAATAGTAAAATAGCAATAACAAGTCAATTATTTTAAGCAAATAGTAGTAGAGGTCAATTATTTTAAGAGAAGGAGTGGGTCCAAAGAAGAAAAATCTATAGTTGAACTCTGAATCTATATGGGTAGTGTTCGAGTTTGTGTGGATCTCAATTTTATAACAAAAGCCATTGATTGCTACTTGAGGGAGACTCATGCATATGAATGAGAAAGATTGATCAATTTAAAAGTTTTCTTCGTATATACATAAATCATTAATATATTTATAAGTTTAGTATAGTTACTTGGATGAATCTGAGGTTGCCTTGCCTCCAAGGCACCCTTTAATTGTAAAGAGAATCAGTAATTTAGTTATCGATATCATTCTCACGAGATGTATATGAAGTTATGAACTCAAGTGTATTTAGTTTTTATTTTATTTTATTTTAGTACCTGTTTCTTTTTAAGGTTTTTTAATTTATATGAAAGTACATCTTAGTTTGAGTACATAAATATATAATTAAAGAAGATAAATAAATTGAAATTGTCTACGATTTAAATTTATATGGTAGTTTAGTGTTGTAAGCAGATTAATACATGAATTATTTTGTATAATCGTATAAATAGCTTAAAAATTCAGATATACAATATTAGGATGAAAATAAAGGAGTTGGGTAAATTAATGGGTACAAATAGGCCTGGGCAAAATACCCGGAACCGAATACCCGAACCGAAAAACCCGAACAATACCCGAACCGAACCCGAACCCGATTTTTAAAAATACCCGAATGGGTCCTAACCTCCTACCCGAAAAAAACCCGAACCGAACCCGAACCGAATCCAATACCCGAATGTACCCGAATACAAATATACACCTAAAAATATTAGTTATATTTATATTTATAATACCCGAAATACCTAAAATTACAATCATAAATCCGAATATATTAGGTATTTTAGATATTTTTGGTTATATTTGGGTAAAGAGTAACCAATGTATTTTCGAGAAATCGGGTATTTCGGTTAGATTTGGGTATATATGAGTTAAAAACCCGAACTCGACCCGAACCCAAAAATATTTCGGGTATTTTTGGTTATTTTCGGGTATTTTGCTTTTTTATTAAAATACCTGAACCGACCCGAACCCGAACCCGAACCGAACCCGAATTTTTAGAATACCCGAATGGGTCTTGACCCCCTACCCGAATAGACCCGATACCCGAAAAAAAGAACCGAACCCGAACGGGTACCCGAATGCCCAGGCCTAGGTACAAAGGCACAAGACAAATCTCAAAATGAAGGCAAAGAAAGGTTGGGGCCCAGAATCCAATGGTTGACGACCAAACTCATATTCATGTGCGCCACGTGGAATACTGCGGTGTGCATGATCTCAGCATGAAGTGTCATCATCACTCATCGACCTCGAATTCCTTCTTCCTCCTCCCAAAATTATGAAATTTGCATTGTTTTGGTTTGTAGCAAATATTTTGGTTTGTTATTTAGTGTAAACTGTGGTCTTCATTAATTATTATATAGAAACCAATACTAAAACGTAGATATAGACTAAAGGCCATAAACAGTGAATAGTATATATGATTGACGTTTTCTAGTGATTATTTCATGTTTTACCAAAAAAAAAAATGAAATAAAAGGTTAATTCTTTTTCAAAAAAATAATAAGTAATAGGTTAATATATGAATAGTGCAATCGTTAGTTTACTATGAGCTTGATTCTTTATTTTTAATGGTTGTCTTTATGTTTATATATCTTCTTTTTAAAAATTTAAGTATGTTTATATATCAAACTAGGATACTTTGTATTCTTCATGAAGTATTATTTTACATGAAATTAAGTTTTTTCCCCTATTTAGTTCAACTTATTGTTAGAGAGATGATATTACTATGAATTTTTTTTTAGAAACCGATATTGTGTTAATGAAAATGTTTAGAAAGATAGGTACTTAATTTGTAACAGAGAACATAATTAATACAAAAATGATACTACTACTAGTAAAATATTTAATAACTGAAATCACCTCAATAATTAGCAGCTATACATGGAACCAACCAAAAATATATGTGCTCTGACTTGACATACACTCATTTAATGACGACCCCAGGTGATTAAAGCCGACTTAAACAAAAAAAAAATTGTCTGCGCACCTCACGAAAGCCTTATACTCTCCACCACAATTTGAGAATGAGTTTAATTAGATATAAAATACAAAAAAAAAAAATAGAAAGAAGAAATAAGAAGAAGTGGATAAGAATCTTCTTCTTACTTTCTTAGTGGTGAAGAAGAAGAAAGAAGATACTCTTTTGCGTGGAACTATCCAATCCTCAACACCTCTCTTTCGTTTTCCCCGCCCGCCTCTTCCTCTTTTTACTAGAATTAAAATATTTGTAATCTTTTTGTTCAATCTTTAGTTTTTCTATTCAATTCAAAATATCTAATCCGTTTACAAGGCCTGATGCGCTGTAGAAATATACATTTTTTTCTTGCAAATTTTATGTCTATCAACAAAACAAAAACTAAAATCAGATCGGTAAAATGTGTAGATTTTAACTATATAAAGAGACTTATAGTTTATTGGTTTGTAATAGTGCATTATTGGATTCAAACTCTTGAATATGCATGTGTAAGTAATAGCGGAGAAAAATGATTATGTTGTAAGTTGTAACATAAGAAAATATTTGATTAAAATTTAAAACCAACTTTTTCAAAAATAATCTAAAACCAATTTATGACTAGTCGTAACAAAAAAAAAAATAGAGCCGTAAAAACAATACTGGTAATGAAATCTTAAACGTCAAATTCAGTAAACCCTTACAAACGTTGGAAACACAGTTTTTACTTTTAAGAATAATTTAAAAAGGCAAAAAAAAAAAAAAAAAATAGAAAGAAGAAAAAAAAACGGCAGCCGAAATTGTAAGATCCACTTAAGCCGACGACTTCTCGGAAATTAAGCTTTGACATCGATTACTCATTCCCCCTTAACACTTGCTTGCTTTCATCTTTATTACCATCATCATTCTCTTTTGTTTTTCTTTATCATTTCTTTTAATTTTCTTATTTCAAAATAAACAAATTCAAGGTGGTGATTTAATGTGTATGTGCAACTGAATTAAAGAAGCCATATATAAAAAGTACATGACTTCCAAATTCCACCTTCTTCTTCTTCTTCTTCTTCGAACTCCTATATATACCTCAATCTCTTTCACACACTTCCTCTGGCTCCACATCATCCTCTCTATATAATCTTCTTCTACACACTCACACGCAACCACATATGTACATGTGAAGTAGTGATATCAATATCGTTATCAATGAATCTACCACCGGGATTTAGGTTTTTTCCGACCGATGAAGAGCTCGTCGTTCACTTCCTCCACCGGAAAGCTTCCCTCTTGCCTTGTCACCCTGACGTCATCCCCGACCTCGATCTTTACCATTACGATCCTTGGGACCTTCCCGGTATATACATACACATATCTCTCTCTCAATATATGCATCATCATGCAACATGATCACAATGATCCCATAGTTCACTAAACATGCATGTACGTGTGCATATGTATAGTTGACTATATATTGTTATGTGTGTATATAATGATCCAGATTAAAGGACATAGATTGATTGTTGTCACCAACTTAAGTAACCAATCTGTCTTTTTTTTTTTTTTTTTTTAGCAGTACACTTTTGTTGGGTTGCTCTTTTTAAGGATTGTTTTTGTTTCCAAATCTTACCATACACACAAATATTTATAGTACCAATCTTTTACCTAATAACTTTCTTTTTTATTCTCTCGGAAGGAATCTATTAATTGGTGAACCATTATTAACATTGCTTTGTTCATAGTCATACATGTGCACCAATTTCAATCATTCGATCTCATGATACACCAACACAATCAATCATATACATATTATATACACACTCACCAAAACATGTACGTAGACATACATACAAACAAATTTCAAATACACACATTCTCAATATATTATTGATACTTTTTTACGTATAAACTACAGGGAAAGCTTTGGGAGAAGGGAGGCAATGGTACTTCTATAGTAGAAAGACACAAGAGAGAGTGACAAGCAATGGGTATTGGGGATCAATGGGAATGGACGAGCCAATCTACACAAGCTCCACACACAAGAAAGTGGGCATCAAAAAGTATCTAACTTTCTATCTCGGAGATTCTCAGACTAACTGGATCATGCAAGAATATTCCCTCCCAGATTCCTCTTCTTCATCTAGTCGGTCTTCTAAGAGATCAAGCCGTGCTTCTTCTAGTTCTAGTCACAAACCCGTGAGTACCCGTTTGTTTCACAAGCCTAAAGTTGTCAGCTTTAACTTAAAAATTACATTTTCCTTTAACCTAAAATTAGTAGTTGACCTCCACGTGGCATGGATTTTTGTGTGCAGGATTATAGCAAGTGGGTGATATGCAGAGTGTATGAGCAAAATTGCAGTGAGGAAGAAGACGATGATGGGACAGAACTCTCATGCTTGGATGAAGTGTTTTTGTCTTTAGATGATCTTGACGAAGTAAGCTTACCGTAATAAAGACAGAAGCACCCAAGAAAAAAAAAAAGGGTTTAGTGGGCAATTATTTTTAAAATCTTTGTACCAAACAAAAAAAAAGGAAAAGGAGAATGAGAATGAAATGACATCATTCTTACAAGTTATATGTTGTAAGATTAGCAAATCCCCAATTTGCAAGCAAGAAGCAAAAAGGAAGAAGCTCTAGTCTTGTTGTATTTTTGTTTCTAAATTCAAATATATCTTTCTATTAATTTTTAATAGTGAATTAATTATGTTAGTTATTTATATATATGCATATTATATGGGAGAAGTTAGCAAATTGTATTGTGAACAAATTGTCGCAAATGTTATTACAATGATGAACCCAAGTTGTGTGTAAATATGCACTTACTTCTCATATATACGACAATAACAATAGTAATTCATGAAAAATATCATTTGTTTAGATAAACCAATCTAATAAGCTGAAGAAGATTTATTCTGAATTCAATCATAACCCTAAAATTATTGGTTTGTGTAGGATTCACAATAAAACATTAAATTAGAATATATCTCGTCTTTTTGCCTAATGTACCTAAGGTTAGGAGGAAAACCACATCTACTAGTATGGGATAAAATTGCAGCCTACTTCTCATCCTTTGAACAATATTAGCTAGCTAAAATATATTATAATTGGTAGAAACGGATTAGAGTTTTGACTAACAAGATCCAAAACACTAGAAAATTTATATAATGGGAAATAATGATTATGTTACCACTGGATGCATGCAAATGAGACTTAAAAAAATAAGCCCCCCATGTTGGCGAATAATCATGGGGAAAGGCTAATAGTGTGTTTAAAAAGTTATAGAGACCAAACTAACTTTTGGGTTTTATTTTTGTTTTTGCTCTTTCTTTCTTGAAAGTTTATATGATCAGTCTAGTTCTAACTCAACAAACAAACCAACAAATACGAATTATGTTTCTCTCTTTTTTAGATGGAAGAGGACAGGCAGCTTGGAGAATAATTTTTCTAAAAATAAGTTGTGGCCCTAAGTTTAGGTGTCTAATATATCGTAGGATCAGATTACACTTGCGTACTACTATATTCTAATCCATAGCTAAATACTTGAGAAGTACAAAAAAAGTAATTGTTTTTTTCTCTCTTTGTGAAACCAGAGATGAGAGATAAATTAAAGGTAACTTTTGAGAAAATAGTGAGAAATTTTCTATTTTTGATGAGTCAGTCCTAAGTTTAAAGGGAACAAAAAGCTATAGAATAAAAATGAGAGAATTTGAGTATTATAAGCAAATTATGTTGGAAGTACATAAATTTTCAAGTGTGGCCTCTAAATTTGATATACGTGTGGCCTACACCTGATCCGGTTTAGGGTAGGATTTGCTATATATATTGTTAAATTATTTATAAGAGTTGAGCAATTGAGAGCCTTTTGCTCCAAGTTATAGACTCTCTCTCTCTATAGATCTTTGATTGGGTTTAGTAGTTAGTTGTCTTGTGTCGCCGAGCCAAGCAACATCGTCTGTCTACGTCTATTTAGAATATTTTAATTTTCTATATAAATAATTTTTTTTATGGGTGCTTGCTTAGCAAGCACTGACTCATGTATGATGCAAGCACCTTGCACACATAAAAATAATAATTTTGAAAAAGGAATTGAAAGATTTCAAGTTGGGAAAGAGTGGGTTGAGATTAAAAGATCATTGTATAGTTTGGGAATGGATGTGGAAAATTTCATGGTTTTGCTGTTTTCATGTATAACTATCTCATAATTAGAATAATGTTTTCAACGAAAACAATATTTAAACCTATCTATACGATTGATATTGTTGGTCTTAACCAGAGACGTTCTAACTGGATGTGGAATTTTACATAGCATAGCAAATATCAAGATCAGTCTCGTTAAGCTAAGGATTTCGTAAGGGAACATTGGTTGGATGAAGCATCATTCACTAGTGTTTGAAGCTTACACAACCAAAATTAAAAAGATAAAAAAAAAACAGGGTTTAGTTGGTTCTTGGAATGCAGAAACCAATAGAAACAAGAAAAGATGCATTTGATTAAGAAAATCGATGCATATATTTCACTGACTTGTTTTTCTCTTTTGTTTGTTTTCTATATATCTATTAGCTTTCTATGTATATGTAGTAATCAAGAGAGTTTTTAACAATCCTATGAAAAGCTGAAAAAAAGTTTGATGTATGGGAAGATTTATAGTGGTGAATAGAAGTTTCTCTTTTTATGAACAGAATGTTACCTTTTTGTTTTACTGGTGCTCCTCCTGATGTTTGAAAGCTGACATTCTCTTTTTGTATTTGTAACGCCCGAAAACATAGTCTGGGAAGAGCCTGTTATGTGATTTCATAAAATCAAGTTGATCTTGTGTGAATGTTGGGAGTCCATCATCAGAAGGTGACCAGTCTTTATTTATCGTCATGGTTCCAAGTCCAGCAGAAGGTGAAGCCAAGTCTGGTTTTTGCGTCACTGTTTCACGTACAGCAGAAGGTGAAGCCAAGTCTGGTTTCTGCGTCACTGCTTCACGTCCAGCAGAAGGTGAAGCCAAGTCTGGTTTCTGCGTCACAGTTTCGAGTCCATCAGAAGGTGGCGACGACAAGTCTGGTATTTTCGCCACTGTGTCCAGTCTATCAGCAGAAGGTGAGGAGCCATGGGTGGAGGTGGTGGTACTGGTATTGAGATTGGCTGTAAAAGTAGCAGATATGGGAGTGTAGACTGGTGAGTCGCTGGTGGTTGTGTTGGGCTGGCTAGAAGAAGGTGTTGTGCGAAGTGAGTGTGGTGTGGTTGGTGTTTGGTTGCCAGAGAGAATTGGAGGGAAGTCCTTTTGACTATTTAGCGTATAGGGGTCAGGCCCATGGGGTAAGAGAGGAAGAAGTGGTGGTCTCTGATAAACGTAGATCAGAGGCCGAGGCCGGTGCAAGTACGGGTATGGCTGCAGGTGCAGGGGATTCTGCAACGTAATTTGAGTCTGAGTTCGTTTCTAAAACAAAAAGGTTAATCATTTAAGAAAAAGTGTGAGTTGAGATCAACTTACAGCGCATGGAAACTGCGGATTATAATGATCATATGGGAGTTGCTGTGGTGGAAAAGGAGAAGCAGCTTGTCTTGGTGTGAGGATGAATGGTTCAGCAGAAGCTTGCAGTTTTGACGGATTAGCAGCCTAATAAACACAGATAAAAGCAAATGAGAACTGGTTATAAACTTATGATTCTCTAGAAATCGTGATACAGAATGCGTTGTGAAGTAAAAACCTTTGGTGTACAAGGACTATTTGCTGAAATCTTTCCCTTGCCAGCTGAAGAAGATTGCTGAGACAGAGTGGTTTCCTGAAAAATCACCAAAGAACTCTTAACACATACATTTCAACACATAACTATGAGCTTAGTAATGATATTAAGCATACACAATCTTTGCTTCTATTGAATGGATCAAGGCATTGGAAGTTCAGCATCATCTATACTTGTAATCATGCTCAACAAAAATAGATATTTTCCAACTTTATCAGGTTCAGCTTCCTTTGATCTATAACAGTACTCAAAAGACATCAAATCACTAACGTCTAACAACTCTATGGTGTGACCATTGTGGAATATCACATGCACTGTTTCTTAAGTAACTCAGTGATGTTCTTCTTACTGATTCTAATCTCACAAGTATGTAAACAATAAAGAGCGAAAGACGAACCTGGTTACAGCCTGATTCGCTTATAGGGCTGCTAAACTCTGTATTCTTCTTGTGCTGACTCCGGAAGATTGAAGAACGTGCTGATCGTCCGGGACAGCTTGAAGGAGACTCAGACACCTTCTTTTTAGTGGCTGATGTGACCAGAACACCATCCATCAAGATTCCTTCATCTGTGCATGAAACCGGAAAGCGCCTACGAGGAAGTGGATCTGATTTAGCGTCCCGTAAGCACTGCAGCAGGAGTGACTTTGCATTGCTGATGTTGTAATTCCTTTTAGGAGTCACCGGGCTCAAAAGTGATGACATTTTATGTTGAAAACGGCTCTGCCGGATCTTATCCATCGGCCACGTTTGGGGACTCTGCTTAGGCGTCTTGTAATCCACCTCGTTGTAAACAAATGGCTCGTCTTTGTCCATCATATCGCTACAGTAGGAGAATCTGAGATCACCAGACTTCAAAATGAGACATTTTTTTAATCAACATCACCAGAGGATTTGCAATTACCAAAACCACAAAGAAAAAAAAACAAATCACCAGAGAAGTCTCGACTTATTCACTGTTTCTCTCTGCCGCTAAAGCTTTCCGATAAAACTGTGACGATCTGAAAAATGTAATCGAGAGCACAAGACATTAATAAGTTTCAGATTCAATCAAGAACAAGCCTCCGCAGCAACATTTTCCCGCCAAAACTGACGATGAAGATTCACGAGACAACAGCAAAATCTACCACAGAATCAAAGAGGAAATTTACCGAGAATCATCATCAGAGCTTGAAGAAATCAAAATCGAGAACGATTGAAGTAGAAAACGAAGGAGAAGAACCAAATTTTCCGATCGTAAAATCACAAAACCTAGAGGAATCGAGAACGGGAAAAAACACAGATATAATTGCGATAGAGCAAAACCTAGAGCTCGAAATCGGAACTGAAAACAAAATCGCATACCTAAAAGAATCGTGATCGAGAAGCTAATTCGTGCTCCTCTGGTTCGATAGCATCACGAAGCTCGCTCAGAAAAATCTCCACGGCAAAAGAGAGAGAAGAGGGAAAAATCAGTTTCAAAGAGACGAAAATGTTGTTAACCGCCTCAGTCTCAGTGTATATATAAGGCTAAACGGAAAAGATAACGGCGGAAAGATTCCGTTTGGTTTGGTTGTTACTGTATCTTAACTTTGACGGAGTTTCTTTGACCTTCCATTAAACCGGTCAAGGCGAACTTGTAAACCCAAAAAAAAAAAGAATTTTAACCGGAACTGCTGATTCGTCCCAGTAAGCTCTGCTTTTTTTTGGTACAAAACATAAGAACACTTTTTACTACATTGCAACATTACCAACAATGATCAAATAAACAAAGACTTGGGTTCAAGCCATCGACTAGATGGTCAAGTCAAGACCAGACCAAACAAAAACAGAGACCCATGAAATGTACAAAGGACCCAAGAGAGAAAGAAAAACCAGAAAAGAACCCAAAAAACTATACATATTACATGAAGCTTTACACAGATTCTAGCTTTGTTACCACATAGAGAAGAAGAAGCTTTCAAATTCCATCAATGGAGTGTTTTTTTCATGTTACCATTAAGCAAAGACATAAGCCCGCCGCCGTGAACTCTCTCCTCAGGAATCATAAAGTCAAAGATGTTCCTCCCATTGCTGCCACTACTGTTGTTGTTTGTTTCGATTTCGGGTCTCTCGGTGTTTGAGAAGCTTAAGGATTTCATTGATGGAGGCACAAGAACCTGCATTGGTATCATCAGCTTCTGTCTTTTCTCGGGTTGATGATGCAGCGGTGGCAGCGGGCGATCAATGGAGTCCGTGCAATCAGAGACCGCGCTGAGTCCAGATTGAGAATGATCAGTGGTAGTAGTTGTTGCAGTTGTTGTGGTTTGTGAAGAAGTAGAGACAAGGCCACGGAAAAGTCCCGGTCCAATCAAACCAACCTTGCTTCCAGCTTTATCCTGAGACATACTGTTATGCGCAGCGCATAAACCGCTCTTTCCTCTAGCGAATTTCTCGCATTTCCAATCTCCTCCCCATGAGCAGCGCTTCCCACCACCGTGTGCCTTACAGAAATCAGTGCTACCTTGCGCACTCTTCTCACAACCATCAGACTTGCACCGTTTCCCACCACCGTGCTTCACGCAACAATCAGTCCGTCCACGAGCGCTCTTTGTGCACCCGGCCACAACACATCTCTTCCCACCACCGTGAGCTACACAGAAACTCGTCCCACCATGCACACTCTTAGGACAAATACCTCCACCATCAAACATACAGCGTTTCCCCCCACCATGTGCTTTACACAGTGGAGTACTACCTTCCGCTCCCTTTGTACATCCTGCAAATATGCAGCGTTTCCCACCACCATGAGCTTTGCAGTAGTTTGTACTTCCTTGAGCACCTTTTGTACAGCCTGAAGACTGACAACGCCGTCCACCACCGTGGGAAATACAGAGTCCAGCTTGTCCCTCAGCACTTCGTGTACAGCTTTCGATCCTACACCTTTTACCACCACCATGCTTGATGCAGAGACCAGATTTGCCACGTGCAGCCTTAGCACATCCCTCAGGAAATCCACACCGTCTTCCACCACCATGAGATATGCAGAGATCGGTTTTTCCTTCAGCACTCTTTGTACATCCCAAGTGTTGGCATCTCTTTCCTCCGCCATGGGCTTTGCAGAAAGTAGTTTTGCTCTCAGCACCTTTGTTGCAACCTAGCTTTTGGCATCTCTGGCCACCTCCATGGCCAATGCAGAGCCCCGAAGCTCCTCTAGCTCCTTTCACACATCCCATAAACTTGCACTTCTTCGGGTTGCTCATCCTTTGCTGAGAAGACGTGGCAGATGCCGACCTGTCAGAGAAAGCGCAAACAGAGAACTCTGACTCATGACTCAGCTGTGAATTATAAGTATCAGTTCCAAAATTAGTACTACACTCTTGCATTCTTGAAGGTTTTCTAACATTTTCCGTCCTTGGAGCGAAAAGAAGTGATGGCATATAGCCACCTGATCGCCTTGCTGAGGTAGAACCCTCATCAACAACAGTTTGGGACACATTAGTATCCGCATATGTCAACAACGAACAATCAAGTCCGCTGAAAGTATCCATTGTCACAGCAGGAGGACCAAGTTGCAGGATTGAGTTACCTCCTGATGAGAGTTCCTGAACACTCCCAGAAGAAGCTGAGCCTTTGATGTTATTATCATTACCCCTGACATTGTAATAATAGGAAGGCGGTGTTGGACCCAAACCGAGAACCAACCGGCAACCACCATCAGGACAATTAGAAACATCAGAACAAAGCTTATGGTTATGGTGAGAGCTTCCAATCAATCTCCCTGCACTGCTTCCAAGACATTTCAAGCTAAGAGCAGTATCGCCGAAATTGTCAAGCTTTGCAATACCATTGCCACGAGAAAAGTGAACGACACTATCGTTCAAATCCATATGAAGAGAAGAGACAGAACAATGCAGCGGAGGAAATAGAATGACCAAAACAACAAATACTTAAAACACCTTGTAGAGCTATAAACATAAAAGCAACTTGAGATATAAACATCTCCCACCACTGACAAATCCCCATGTGTCTGCCCTGTCCATCTTCAAGAATGGGTAAGAGCAAGAAACTTTTCTGCAGCAGTTAAAAAATCATGTTAGTAGAAAGATTAAGCAAGAAGATCAATAACACTACAATGACATGAGAGGATGAGACTAATAATCACAAAAGCATTTGAGTCAATAGTGTAATAAAACAAGTTGCGGCTTGTGACAATGTTAAGAGATTCAAAGTACAGAGACCAATAATTGGCTACAACTGTGTGTGAAAAGGACCAAGTACCAACCAAAATGACTAATGGTGGCAACATTGTAGCCTTAGGTAAAAGTGAAACGTGAAGGACACATCTTTCTATGCTCGAAAAACTAGAAATTTCCCAAAAAAGCAGAATGAAAGAAAGGATAAGATACGATTGGTCTAGAAATTAGTACACAGTACAAAAAAAACTCTGTTACACAAAAAAACTCAAAAGCAAAATCAGACTTTGAAAACTTCTTAAATAAAAACGAAAGTCAACTTTGTTTTGATAAATGATAAGTGATAACAACAAGCAATGTCTGACGATTTTTCCATTGTAAAATAAAGATCCAAACACAATAAACAAGATCTAAGGAAATAATTGTTATTTTAAACACACAAGGAATCAACAAAGATTCTGAATCTCTATACCTCACAAGTTTCTAACTTTGGGGAAGAAGATCTATAAAATTCACAACAACAAAAAGAAAATTTGTGTAACCAACAAAAAAAAAAAGAAAGAATCTGAATTAATCAATCAATCATTACAGAAATCATCATGCATACTCTAAAAAGTTAGAAGGTTTATAAAAAAAAAAAAAAAAGATAAACCCTAAAAAGAGCAAGAGACAATTACAGAAATAAGCTGGACAAATTCAGAAAACGAAACAAAAACAAACCATGCATTCATATATAACTCGTTGATTAATCAGTAATAAAACGAAACAAAAGTACTAGAAAAGGAAAAAGAAAAAAAACCTGATGGATCTGAGACAAGGAGAGATTCCGTAAGCAAAAGCCTCGTAAACTGAGAATCTCTGCTTTCGTCTAAAACATCGAGGAAGACGAAGAAGAAGAAGAAACAAAAGAGACTGAAACAGGTGTCGAAATATTAGCGGGGCTACGAAAAAGAGAGAGAAGGAGAGATATTTTTATGGTTTTTATTATGAGCGTGTTTGTGTTAGGCTTTTCAGGTTCTCGTTTATAACCGCGAGTGAGGGAATCCCAATGAATTACCCAAAATACCCTCTCTCTCCGTCGATAGTAACGGTTCTGATTGGATGAGACAACGCTCTATTTTGGGTAATCAATTAAAATTTGCTTTTCGATGAAAACGACGCCGTCTCTTTATACGAAGAAAAAGTCTTTTGTGCCCCTTGTTTTATGTTTTCTTTCGAGTGGTAGTGATGTTGCGACAAGTCACTTCTGAACCGATTACCGTCTTAACCGGTCAGAACTGATTCCTTTCCTAATTTTTTATGACGTCATCGTAATTTTATGAAACACTTGGGGAGTTTTATTAATATTTTTTTTGTAATGATGATATCAGCTGAATGATGTTTGTAGTTTTTGTTATTTGTCATTTTATGTGTCTCTTTTGTTAGTAAACGAGACAGAAAAACGATTATTTTTTTCTCATGCCAGGAATAAGGAGTAAAATATATAGAATTAGCTGGCATCATTAAACCTAGTATTATAAAAAAATTAAATCAGATTCCAGTATCCAAATGCGAAGCACTTGTGGTATCAAGCTTCTAAGAAATAAAAGACTTATGATTCTGTTTCTTTATTTTATGTTTGTACTTACATCTAGATCTATATAAGTGAAAACGTTCAAGTTTCTATTCAAACAAAAAAACATATTCAAACCTTACTTAATCAAACATCAATTGCTGATTTGTGTATATATAGTAGGCTTTTGTGTTCATAATCTGTAATGATATGATATGTGATTAAACAATGCAAAATGACATCAATTTAGTTGCTGTACGTAAATGAACATTTTTCGTTTAAAAAAAAAAAAAAAACATTTTCGTTTGATAATAATTTAAGTGATTAATGAATAAAAATGTTAGATGTGCGCTGGGGAGAAGAAGAAGTAATAACTATTTATTCATTTATTTTATAAGAACAATATAATTGATACCAATTTTTTTTTTGTCGTGGTGTGATGAAAATTGTCGCCAAGGACCACAATAAAGACGAACGACTATTTTTTTCTTTTAAAGAAATTTTGATTTTTATGATGTTCCAAGAGGCAAATCCTATTACGTCAGCCAATGAGGTTCCTTGCAGAGTGGAAGAATCTATCATAATAATTTAATTAAAATGAATTATATATGAAAGAAAAAGTACAAAAAAAGACATAAAATAAAAGGAATCTTTACTAGTCGGCGATTCCGTCAGCTTCGGCCTCAACTCTCCACGCGAAACGGCTGACGTCGACAATATTTTATACTAACCTTTATAGTATTATAATATATCTTGTGAAAATGTGTATGTGGAAACACGAAAGCCTTGTTGCAATATTTTACATCATGTTTTTAGCTTTTGACTTCATCATCTTCATCATATTATAGGGTTTTAGTAGAGTTCGTTTCTTCGTTCGCATGCATACATTTTTGTTTTAGAAACTATTTTCTTCTAAAGCTCCTATTGGATGGATTTTAACTTTGACTTTGTTCAAAATAAACAACAACAGGCCCAACTCTAGCCCAATCCCTTTACCTTCTTCTCTGTCAATGGAATCTCAACAACTCAACCTCTTCTCTTTTGATAAGACTTATAAGACCACAAGAGAAGAAGAAACAAAGAGAATCCAAAACCTAAATCATGAAGAGGCTTCAAATAGAAACCTCATAACATCAACTCTCAAAAGTTGTATAGCTGATAAGAATGATAACATGGGCCAAAAGATTGTAGGCTTTATTTTTATTTTTTTTACAGTATTTGTGGGCTTAAATTATAAACTAAATAATATTTTTTTTTTCGATTTTTTTTAATAAACAGAATAATATCCTAAATATGATTTTTCAATTCTTTCAATATGTTTGATTAATTTTATGATGCGTGAAGTAAAAGAATTGTGAAGCTCGTTCAAAACTCAGAACGACCACAAGTATAATAATCGAAAACAAGATCTGCCCATGCCCCCTTCACAATCTCTCCCTCTACCCAAATTCAGCCATCAAGATCCCACAAGTCCTTTGTACCGAGCGTACGACATTATGATCACAAACACGACTATACAAAGTGTCCCCGTCAAGCTCACGACCTGCAACAAAAACCAATATACATTGCTTGAGAGAGATCTTCATTTCATTCCCATGCAAATAAAATTCTGGTTACTTACATATTTGAACATGTATCCATGATTTTCGTTCCATGTGTATGGAATGTTCATCCCGAAAATTCCAGCGACAAGAGAGTACATTGATAAGCAAACGGTTCCAGAACTTAACACAAGCTCCAACTGCAGGATTTTTGAAGATGATCAAGAAAAGAAGCTCAAGAAGATGATACATAAAAAAAGATTTGGCTTTCAACATTCACGTACCTGAATAAGCTGATTCCGATGATTGTCAAGCTGTGAATAGAAAACCGACGATTTATAGGTTTTAAAATTAGGCTATAATGACTTATGAGGATTCAGATTTCAAGAAAAGATGTTAAGAATTTGGAGATTTCGTTTTTGGGTACCTGGATGTTGATGTAGTCCTCTGTGTCATCAATGTACTCACGTAGCTGCATCAGAATCAAATATTAAGAATTGGATAGACAGTTTTTTAAAATAAAAAAGTCTGCGAAAAAAGAACAGAACAAAAAAGGAGCAAGAGGATAACTGTTGTCAATCTGTTCAAAGTGCTGTCGATCTGCATGAAGTATGCCTGCAAAGATATCAAACGTCTGTATTGAGACTTGGCATTTGAATGGAAGATAGATCAAATAAAAGATTTTGTGCAGAATCAACAAACCTCGAGCAACATTTCAAGTTCTTCAACATCATTTTCATCCCCACGAACTGTGGCTAAACTCGCTCTACTTGCTCTTGAAATCTTAGAACCAATTGTTGGGGAAGTAGCATACCAATTTGGTTCACCAACGCTACTAATTGGTGAGGAAGCACTGGAAAGTTTTCTTGAAAGGTAAAGATCCGCCATATCATCGTCATCATCCAGCAACTGTTCGAGTTCATCTCTTACCTGCAAAAGGCGATGAAGCTTCTTAATTCTTTGTTCCTATTACAAATACTCATAGTCATAAGAAAAGATACCTGCTCACCTTTTGAACCCGAGCTGTCAACCGAGTCATGGCACTCTTCAATTTTCGAACTCTATCCAAATTACGGCTACTAATCTACAAGACGAATGTAAAAATGCTGTTGAAAATTGGATCACTGGTGATAATAAATGATGAGGTAACCTACCTTTGAGGTAAGCTCATCCAAAGCAGGATAAGCAGCTGTTTCTAATTCTGCTGTCCTTGCAGCTAAGAAGCTACAGATTGCTTCCAAAGCTACTTCCAGCGCCCGAAATTCGAATGGGGATTCTATATTACAACAAAACCGAGTTAAGGGTCATCAAAAAGGACATGAATTTCACAGGTTTTAGATGGTTTAGGAAAAGAGCCAAGAGTCTCTGGGGACAATACCATCTTCATCACCAGTATCACCATCGTTTTGAGCACCTGAGATCTCTTTCCCGTCTCCTTGAGCATGGTGTGCTGCATTTCCAACGGGTAAGCGTCTTCGAAGCTCCTCCACAACTGGAATAACATTTTCATCAGACGGATCCCGAAGCAAAACCTGTAATAAGCCAAGTCATTACTACAAGAAGGGAAAAGGTTCATTGCCATTGACAATCATTGACCTGAGACATGAAGATATCTTATTTACAGAAAAGCTATATATTGCTAAATAGATCTTTTATGAACATTTTTTTTTTTTGTTAAGATCTTTTATGAACTTTGTAACACACTATATCATACTAAGAACAAAACTGAAAAATTAGCCAAACTTTGTCAAGTTCAGTGTTTGCTCAAGTTCCTTACACAGTGTCAGCATTATGAAAAACTAGCTACGAGAAAGAATCAAACTTTAACATGAACATCTGGATATTCAGAAAAATTCAACCCCAAAAAAAACAAAAAAAAATCGAAACTTTCTACTGCAAAACCCTCTAAATCTAAGTGTGTAGGCAAAGGAATCAAAGAGTGAACTAACCTCTTCGGAAGTGATAATCGCCTTGATATGCTGCATCAGCACAACACAAACAAAAACAAAAACAAAAAAACTAATCACACTATGAAACAAAACAAAACCCAGAAACAATGAATGCCTGAAGAAGAAATAAAACAGAACCCAACCTCCAAATTGAGCACAATGGCTCTCTCTCGGCCAAGAATAGTAGAAGGGTAAGATAAATTGGGGTCGAGAATCCGAAGATCGCGAGCGTGGATCTGGACACGGTGCATGATAGCATACTTATCGACATCGAGCGTCTCACTCTGTCCCGTCGCGTCAATAATAGCCCAATTCTTCGACGCTTGTGGCGTTTTTTTCTTCACCGTCACTACCGCCGAAGGATCCGCCGGAACCAAATACCCGTTTTGCGCCATGTCTTTCCAAACAAAAAATTACTTCACCGTCCACTTCCACGCCGTCTGAAAAATTCAGAGCACGAGTATGAACACAACAATCGAATTCTTCATAAAAAATTCTGAAAAAAAGGAAGAGAATCAAACCTTTTAGAGCTCAAGTGTTCATGCGAATTCGACGGAGATAACAATACTCTAATGGATTCAAAAAAGTGAATTCTCGTCCTGACTGCTCCTTTTTCATTAAAAAGATTTTTGGAAAATCTTTCTTTCTAGATTTTGTTTAGGTTTGGTTTTTGTATGTTTTGCTTTGTGAGAGTTTTACAGTTTCAGAAAAAAAGGAAAACGTGATATATTCTGTTACAGGTGAATCTTTTTTTTTTTTTTCTTTTTAATCAAACCGTATATAACCGAAGTGAACCGGTGCTAATAACTCTGATTTCTGATAAGTATGTGTCGAATTACCTAAATCCGACCCAAATACACGATTTTATTTTAGATTAAGAAAATAAAAATAAATTGTTTTTGGATCGGAATAAATCTTAACTAGAATATTACGAGTTTATCTGCTGGTTATCAGAACTATCAGTTTGAGAGTAGCAAAAAAAAATCTACATGAACAATATCCAAAATTACGTGTAAAATTACTCGAAATACTTGAAATACCAAACATAAATCTAACTCTAACAGATCTAGCTAGATTTATGCTACACATGAATTACACATGATATTTTAGATATTCGAATTATTTTAATATGGTTATTGATCCATATCCACTATAGTTTATGCTATTAACACAAGAAATGGAAAAAAAAAAAAAAAATAGAGATTCACAATTTGTTTTTTATTTCTTTTTTTTCCAACTTGCAAAAGCTTAAGCATATTAATATTCTTTTTTCCTCAAATAAAAAGAAAAAAAAATAAGAATCAGATCCTAATGCTTAAGGAATGTTTCAAATCGCCGACATGAAGAAGATGCTTTCCCAAACCAATCTTCTTCTTCCCAATCTCATCAACAACACTCAGATCTTTGCACACCTCTACCTTAAACCTAACCACCGCTTCTTCCATCTTCCCCAATCGAATCTTCTCAAACCCTAACAAATGCTTCCTCGGCGATCCGTGAATCGCCGGCGGCGTCGTGAATAGAAACACTGTGTGAATTCCTTCTCTATCTCCTCCGTTTCGTACCTTTATCTGAACCTCAAACGCCGATCCTCCGCCGGAGACAGCGTTTTCGCAATGCGGTCCGATTGCGTCCAGCGATTGACATTCCGATGATCGGCAAACGTGATTCTCTTCAAGACTGAGAGAAACGAGACTTGGAGCTTTGACTAAGCTATGACTGAATTTGGTGTAGCTGAGTCCATCTCCGAAGGCGTATACTGTTTCTCCGGTGTAGAATCGGTAAGTCCGACCCGGATACCCTTTTGATTTATCGGGTCTCATGTTCATAATTGTCATCGGAACTTTCTCTACATACGACTGTGGATACCAAGTCATCGGTAATCTTCCACCTACAAAACCAAAACCGGTTAATCAAAATCTCAATTACAAAAACCGGTTTGAGCTATAGAAATTTGCAGTTACAGAAACAGAGTCTTTACTTGGATTGTAACGGCCAAAGATGATATCAGCAATGGCGATACCACCGGCTTCTCCGGGATAACCAACCCACAATATTCCGGCGATCTTTGGGTCATTCTTAGCGAATGTAATGTCGAAACCTCCACCGGACATAATGACGAGCAAGACCGGTCCTTTTGCTGCTTTAGCTACTTGGATCACTAGCTCTTGTTGCTGTCCGGGAAGATTCAGGTCGACTCTGTCTCGGCTCTCTGCCTCGATTGATTGATCGGCACCGATCATGAGCACTGTCACATCTGCTGTTGCTGCTAGTTTTGTGGCGCCGGCTACATCCGCTACCGCACAAGCTACATTGGAGCAGCCTGGTAGATATGTTGTTGATACCGTTCCGGCTAATCCTTGAAGTGGTGTTGTGTATTTGCACGGCGTGCCTTCGTAGTTTCCGATCATTGTCTTGGTGACATTCGCGTTCGGTCCAATCACGGCTAGCGTTTTGATCGATCTAGGAGTTAGCGGTAAGCATCCAGTATTCTTGAGTAGAACAATGCCTTGTCTTGCCGCGTCTGCCGCTAGTTCTTGATTCGCAGACGTGCAAACGTCGGTAGGACCCAACCCACCATAGATCTGGTTCTTTGGATTACCATCAAAGAATCCTAAACGCAGAAGGGTCAAAAAGTTGTTGGAAATCGCTTTATCAATAGCTGCCTCGTTTACCAAACCCGACTTAACCGCTTCCTCTGTGTGTTGACCCAAGAACGAACCACAGTTTAAATCCAAACCTGCCAATATAGATATGGCTGCAGCTTCTGCTGGAGTTTTCGTATAGTGTTGGTTCTTATACAACACATCTACTGAATCACAATCTGAAACAATGTACCTAAATAAAATGAAAAAACAAAATCAAAACCAAAACACTTGAAAAGGGTTTAAACCCGCTGGTTGGATCAGAATATTACCCATTCAACTTCCATTCACCGCGGATAACACCAGAGAGCAGATCCGGATCAGCGCATGTCGGTTTGCCGTTAACTTGATTGTAAGAACACATAACACTTGCCACATTTCCATCAACCACACAACTCTTGAATGGTGGTTGATACGTATCATCCATATCTTGTTGAGTCACCTACTCCATCAAAACAAACGCATAAAAACAGTTCGTTAAAGCACTAAAAATGTATTCGGTCTAACCAAATGTTGTACCCAACCCGGACTTAGTCCCATTGAACCGGACTAACCTAACAAACCACACCAATAACTGAACCAAAACACCAAATCATCCCAATCCTAACCAAACACATGCTTAATTTGACAAAAACAGTTAAAACACTGGAAAACGTCCTTATAGCTTTTAGATTTTTACCACGGCGTTGAAACTGTAACGTTCTACTCCTTTCCAATTATCGACATCGTAAGCGGTGTAGTGTTTGCAGCAGGCAGCGACTTTGAGACGGTTAGAATCGCCACCGTCAGTCTCTTGAAGACCCTTAACGTACCCTGAAGCATACTTGCTAGCGAGCAATGGATCTTCTCCTGGAGTCTCTTGTCCTCTTCCCCATCTAGGATCTCGGAATATGTTCACGTTCGGTGACCAATACGTTAGTCCGGCTAATCCCACGTTGTACATTGCCCTCGCTTCCGTCGAGACAACCTTAACAAATAAGTGATACCAATGTCATCCAAAAAAAACCATGTGTATCCAATTCGGTTTGAAATTGTATTGACAAAACCGTATCCGGTTTATTATATTTCTTAGGAAAAATTATCTGAAACTTAACCATGAATCATAATCATAATAATCATGGCACTGAAAACAATTAAATGTGGGGAAATTCATTATTGGTTACAGGTACGAAAACGACGTCGTATAACGTGTTGTAAAGTGTTTACTTGTACCAAACGAAAGATCAAAAAAGGAGAGGCCCAGTTTCATAATTAGTAAGATATTCTCATTATCCAAAAAGAGAAATAAAAGCAAAGGACGAAAATAAAAAATAATAATAATAGAAAGTGGATAAAAAAAGAGATTAATTACCTTGCCAATGGCTTGAAACAGAGATACGTTGAAAGAAGCGGCGGTGAGTATAACCTGCGGGAAACTCGTAGCTCCGGGAACTTGGCTGGAAAAATGCGTGCCGGGTCCAATGTAAGAAACGCCGTGAAGTGCTTCCGACCACCATTCATACGTCGGAATCCCAAGACGAGTCACGCCGTTAGCTTTACTCACTAAAAACCCAATCTTTTCTTGCAACGTAAGCCTCGCGACCAGATCAGCCACTCGGTATTCGATCTTTAAAACGGTGTTGCAGAATCCATAAGCGGCGAGAGAAGGGTTTGCAGCTACGTCGCAGGCGAAAACCGGCGATGATTGAGCGTTTGATAAATCTAAAAAGAAGAGGAAGAAACAGAGAAAGATAAGAAAAACAGAGAAAACAGAGGATGTTGGTGCTCTGTTTCTCCTTGTTAGTGGAGAAGAAGAGCCCATTGCGTTGTGTTTCGATTTCTTGGGATATTGGTTTTCGTTAGTGAGACTGGTTTTATAGTAATAAAGAGTGAGCTACTACCACGCTCTCTGTGGTTAGTATAAATTATTGTCGACATTTATTTATTTTTGTGACCTATTATAATTAAGATTATGTAAAAAAGATGATACGGTCTTCGAGGAAAGAAATAATGATACGGACCATACGGTGTTTGTGGATAGTGTTAGGATTTATGACCTTGGTGCCTTTGTTAAATGATAAATCTGATTTTACTTTATATAGTTTTGCAAAAAAGAATAAAGCATAGTGGGTTTTAACTTTATACATAAAGTGTACATCGAATATTCTACGTATTAAAATTACTTGTTTCTTTTTGTCTCACCGTATAAATTTACCTTTTCCGGTATAAAATAAAATTGAAAGTATAGATTTCGTTTGGGTATAGAGTACAATGTCTCAGGCGACCCCATATCAAACTTTTTACATATGTTTTTCTTTTTCAAAATAACGAGATGTTTGATTTTTGGCCTGTGCAGATATATCTTCATGTCCAAAAGCATGGTAGATTTTTATCAAGAAGTAGGCATCTTCTTTAAGTGTTGCAATATCTTTATAGATAATTGCTGAAAATAACTATGTTTGGTTAAGCGTTAAGGTATGGTCAATTCGATATTTGTGGTTTGGATACTCAACACGATTGAGTCCAAACATTGGACGGTGTCTTGTGCATATATGAATGGGAGAGTTTGCTAAGTCGTTTTTTGGTTGAAAATGATTAAGTTGTGGCTAGCTATTGCGTGTAAACAAGAAAGACAATATGTTTTAGACTACTTTGAAATACTGAACGTTATGTGGGATAATTTAGCTTAATGTGGTCCACTTGATGATCCCACATAAATTGATAAACACATCTTTTGATAAAAGTGAAAATGCCCTAAAAACTGTCATTATTCACTATGTGCAAAGTCTAGTTTTCCATTAACTAATCACCATTTACGGTGGGAGTTGTTGTGTTGTTTTGTGTAAAAAAAAAGTCATAGATCCCAATAAGCGAAAGTGTTTGGTAGTGACCCGTGACGGTGTCGTATTATTTATCAAATGGTAAGTTTTTGTCGAGGTCCAAGAGCAAGTTGCATTCTTTGTTTCGAGTCCGTGAATCTTAATGGTTTTCGACTTTCAAGTTTCAACAGTTGTTTTCATTAGCATGACAGCCTGTCACTTTAAGGTTTTCTCATGCGCGTGACTCACTCACATTATACTTGATCTACATAGAAATTAGTTCAATTAATTAAGGCCGTTTTATATACTTCATTTGAGGAAAACATAGCTAAATAGCTTAATGGGAAGCATAACTTGAAACATTAAAGATATAAACTCTACTATGTACAAAAAGTATGAAGTATCCATCTAGTTTTGGAAGATTCTATAGTCCTAAAACCTTTAGTAATTACTTCGTACGTAGTTAATTTATAGTTTTTGTTACTTTTTTGGCTTAGTTTTTCCAAACTAAATCCAATTAGCTAAATAGTTGATTTGACTCATAACATATGAAGGCTAATGTTTGTACTTTTACAGGTAAAGAATATAAAAATAAGTATGCACCACTTGGATTTTACTTTATGTATATATGAGTTTTATGGATGAGTGATTGTACCATCATGTGGGTCTAGGATATTATATCGATTTTACTAAACACGTTTTCCTGGTCATTGCAACATTCACAAAAAAGTTCTAAACACTTAAAATTAGTTTGGTTACGGTTTAAGATATATTGGTTATCTGAAGAAAAATGGACGAAATTAAACTAATTAACTATAGACAATTTTAGGTATATTAGTCTAAAAGTACAAAGAACAACAAAATCCCATTATAAATTATTACAAAACTTGTTTTAATAAATATTTACAATATTTTTATATTTTCTGAAAGTATGTATTACAAAAATATATAACAAATAAGCGATCGAATTTCCACATCAACATCCAATGCATGTGTCTGGTTTTATTTTTGTTAGCTTGGACCAATAAAACACAATTTCCATAATTCGCATAAAACAAGAAACAAATTTTTTTTATTTTTTATTTTTAAAATTACATGTAGATCTAGTGTGGCTTTTAACAGAAAAAGGGTTAAAAACGTTGCAACTTGCAAGTATTGTCACATGTGCTAACAAATTATTTTCATTATTTGGAATAAGTGATCTTCAGAGATATTTGTATAAACTAAAAACCCACCTATACATAATTAACAAGTAGAATAAATGAGTAGATTTATTAGTTTTGACTTTGCATAGGACACATACTTAATTAACAAGTAACAAAGGGATCTATCTACACTTTATTCGTTAAATTAAATAAAGTCACAAAGATAATGATTGCTAAGTAATGTCTGCAAATATTAATTATGTTTTACAGGAAAACATGAAGTGAGCTCTAACTATTCCTAACTATGAGTAGTATACTTCTCCTTTTTAGACGAACCTTTATGTTTTTGGATTAATTAGCATTAAGTAATTACTATGTTTATTTTTATAGTAGTACTAGTTTAATGTCGGTTGCTAATTTGCTACAATAAAGTCTGGTTATGAATTCCAGTCACCACAATTATCAAAATCAAAATCAATTTCGCTTTATTTAATAATGGATAGTTAGGTTTGCGGCATTTGGAGACATACATATTTAGGATAATATTACATATATTGGCTCCAATCAAAAACAAATTAAAGTTGCATGGTTACGTGTTAGCAAATTGTGGGGACAAATATTGAAATATATCAATTAGGTTATTTACGTCTTAACTACGTTACAACAATGTCTCGATCATATAATTCCAAATGTTTCTGAAAACTTTTTCCATATAATGTTTTCGAAATGCATGTGTTTTATTTCACATACCCACACATATATGCTCGGTTGCAAAATTTTAGGGAATCATAATCTATATGCTCATTTATTTTACTATTTTCATGATAAAAGTTTTTTTTTTTTTTTTTTTGACAGCAAATGAAAATGAAAATGAAATGTATACCATTTTTTGTTTTATGTTTTAAAAACTATATTCAGTTATGGTCAATCATCGAATTTAAAGTTAGAAAAAAAGATATCTTTTTATTATTCATCTATTTTGTTGTTCCACTATTTTTATGATGTATATCAATCATCTAATTGTCGTTTCTTACTTATCAGTTTATCATTGTATTGTGCGCAATTTTAAATGTTGCATGATTCGCCAGTAGAATCTTTAACTTGTCGGAGAGATTACTTTCCTTTTGTATTTATATTCTTCATAAAGAAACAATTGGATATAATATTATAATTTCTTCAAGATTATCTTTTACATTTATTTACAACAAATTTTTTGACCTAATCTTTGAATAATATACCTAAGGTAGATGATGTTATTGTAGACGGCATGTGACTTTTTAGACATTATTATTTATAGTTAGAGCAGGTGAGGTGAGGATCGATGAAGACATAACCACTGTCAATTATTGTAATTGGTCACATTTCTCAAACCCAAAATATTCTTAGTATAAAATAGGAAGATGCATGTCCCATTATATACATGTAAGTTGTAACCTTGTATTCATTATCAAATATTTCATTTTGAAAAGGGATTTTATTCATAATTATCATAACTGGATCAAAGATATTCGGTTATGTGTATGTATCCGATCGTCATGAAAAATATAGCATTAAAGCTATGTAATTATGTGCAGACCTGCCACGAATAAAAAAATAATCATACCCAGTAAATAAATTTATATGCTAGTTTTAAATAATGCAATGATGATAATAAATAATAATTATAGCCGTATAAAAAAATACTTATATAATTATGATACTAAGTAACAACTTCAATAATACTAATTAGTGGTGTCAGTGTCACTCGATGAGTAGATGACCATGCTCTTCTCCAAGCGGTGGTTGCACAGTCGATGTATCTCCAGGCTTTTTTTAGTGTACATCAAGTTTTTTTTTTAATTGTATTTCTTGCTACATGAAAATATATTTTTAGTTTATATTGAAAACCAATCTTTTCCTTAAAATTGCCTACATTTCTTTAAAACTGTCACGTTATAAATATACACTGAGCAATAATTAGTTAGATGATGAAATCATTAATTAAAGCCTGATTTACATGTTCATATTTGTTAGTTTTTGTTGAATATGAATATCCATAACGATGGATAATCGCATTATCATCAACACGAACTTATTCGGAATTGCAGCAAAATCTGATTTTATTTTTCATGTTGTAATTTAATTTGTAAATCTCAACTTAATTTATATATATAGTATGTGTAGTAACAAAATATGATCGTCAATTAGTTTGAGTGAAGAAGAATATAGCTTAAGGTAATATATATAAGAATATATATATATATATATATGGTCCACTTTTTTGTTATTATCTTATCATGTTAAGATCATAGAAGAGTTATAGCTTTCATTATGGATAACTTGGAATATAAGCAACTTGTTCAATCTTTGGCCCAACTGATATCAATCAACCAAAAGTTATAAATCGTACAAAAGATGATGCATCTACAATACATAAACAAATCATAAAATAGAGAAGAATAACACGATCTAATTTTCGCACCACATATACAATACATAGTATTTTGCATAGATAGAGATTGAATCTCAAAACTAAAACTAATGACGAAGAAGATAATGATTTTGATATCGACCTGCGACTTTATTGTCGCCATTGGTTAGGTGTTCAAATTGCCAATGTCTTCCAACATTTGTATGATTGTTAATATATATAATGATATCCATATTGGTCATGAAAAAAAATCAACATATTTGAAAAGAGAACAAAAGCAATTTGATTTTGTAAAAAAGTGAGATGAGATTGTTTCTATTTTTTTTTTGTTGCCCATGCCCTACTACAGCCAAGCAAATTTGCATCAATTAAATAAATAACAAATTAGTTTTAAAAAATCAAATTTCTAAAAAAAATGATCACATTTCACATTTCTCAACAAAATAAATTAGTGGATTCCACTAACATTTTCTACA